TTCACTTTAAAGGACAAAAAAAAGTAGGTTAAAAATTATTACTTTTAACATATTAAAAATTAATAATAATTTGAAAACTATTAATTATAAAAATTGTATAATATATAAGTAAAATAATTACTAATCTGGATACAATTAAGGAAATAGAAGTTGATGTTGCTTTTGAAATAATCTACCAATTTCTTAGAATTAAACTCTACAGAATTGCATTGAAACGTTTCTTATGATAGTGATTTTAATCACTGGCAGATTAAATCTATACTGGACCTAACTATGCCACGTCCCCACTGTGCTGGGTTTGGTTTTTACTTATTGACTTACTACCAAAATGTCGCTTTATAGAAATAATGATTATGTTGATATGGTTTTGTTAATGGGTAATTGTTTAAACTTTTAATTTTAATTATTTAAATGATTTATAAACATTTTTTGGTTTTAATCATTAGGATTATGCGGTACAGGCTTTGAGGCAGCTCGTTTATGAGCTGAAAGATTTCCTAATCGTAGGGTTCCTGATAGACGGACTTTGAGAATACTGTACAACGTTTAAGGGAAACAGGTACTTATCATGTATTAAAATAAATTTAATTAAATAATAACTTTAATTTAAATATATATATTTTTTTGATAAATAATTACGATCGTGGATTATCCGCCTTTTTTTAGAATTTGATACGATCACATTTGCATTGTAATAAACCAAAAATAAAAAGAAAGAAAAGAAAAATAGCTTGAAAGCATAGGTTAAATATAAAAAGAAATATAAAAAGAAAATGGGGATTTGCTTAGTAGATTATTGTAATCATTATTTATTATAAGTTTTGTAATTTTAATGTAGATTTAATTGTCTTCAATTTTATTTAAATTAATTTCCTCATTAATTGTTTCTCTCATTAATTATTAATGGTTTATCACGCAATAGATTGTTGGAAGTTCGAAAGCATAGGTTAAATTGTACTTACCTTACGTCCTGTGTGATACAATAATATTTTAAGTAATCCAGTGTTGATTTCCGTATTAAACGCACTACGTATACGATTTACTCTATATGTAATATAGTCTATATAATTGCTTACAAAAAACGACTCAAGACTTTACATAAGATGATTTAATTACACAAAGTCTACAACTGGTCTTACTTGTGATTGATTCTTAACACTCTGTATTTTATTATAAATACAATTTTAATTTTTTTTTAACTTGTTGATTTTTTTACGTTTATTGAATAAGTATTTTTTTTTAGAGAGTATAATTTTTTTTATTGAGAGATCGATACCAATATTTCTTAAATTTTCCTCTGGCCTGGCCAAAACAAGATTCAGAAATATCTATATCTATGTAAAAAATTTATCAAGGCAGAATTGTGGTGGCCCAATGTGTCCCGGTGCTAAAATAAAGCACCTTGAAAGGATGCGGCACAATAATAACCAAGACAAAAATTAAACACTGCAAATATATTCGTAAGTTTCTCTACGTTGTCTGCCGGCGCGATGTTTATTAAAACAAAGACATTAGCAACGAGACTAGCTACCCAATACGCATAGGCTTACAAATATATTCTAACCTAATATACCTAATTCTAGAACAATGTCTAGTTGCAACCTTTACTCTGTCTGCCGGCGCGATGTTTGTTAAAACAAAGACATTAGCAACGAGACTAGCTACCCAATAAGTATAGAGTTGCAATACACTTAGTCAAATAAATTTAAATCTCAATTTAAATTGAGAAGATTGTGACCTTTAGCTTTGTCTGCCGGCGCGATGTTTGTTAAAACAAAGACATTAGCAACGAGACTAGCTACCCAATAAGAATAGCTCACAATAAATTTTTATTATTAAATGAATATCTAAATTTAGGTTGGATTTATTGTTAAAATAAAATAATTTAAAAAATATAATGTTTAAAATATTATTTGATGTTTATTTTCACAACAAGAAAAATAAAATATTATTAATGATTGAACAAATTAAATTAAATTAAAAGATTCACCAAAACAAAATTCACTTTAAAATTTCTAAGTGTCATTTAGTTTTAAAGAAAAATATTCTAAGTCCAAATTAATTAAAAAATCGACTAAGTGTTTTTTAAATTGAAAAATATTCTAAGTCCAAATTAATTAAAAAATCGACTAAGTCCCGGAGAGTGAAATCTTAAGCAGAGTGTCGTAGATTTTGTGTATTTTAAAATCGTCAAAAGAACTGGTTTAGGGTGCCGAAAAATGGCTTTTTATAGTGTGAAGGGGGTAGCCCAGCGATCTCTACCGTGATCCTAGAAGCTGAGGCTTTGTATTGTAATTGGTTAATTAAAAGAGGGTCCCAGCGTGTAGGCGTTACTTAATAATTTCTACAAGAGGGAGATTTTATCGTATAGTTAAAGGGTTATTTTGTATTTTAAATAAGAGAACCCTGTTTTGGTGATCTTGTATAATCATGATATGTGACATACATGTACAAATGATAACATCATATTATATGTTAATATTATATGTAATAATATAATATTACAGCATGTGCCCGTATCTCTGTCTCCCATAACATCACTGTACCGTTTACTAGACATATATATATATAATTGACACAGTGACATACAACAATACTAACAGGAGGGCGGACTGCGCACACAAACACTTTTGAAATTCACGGCCAATGTGCCATAATAATATACCCCTACCGACAGTTGACCTTTTACCATCATCGCGACCACTACTCTTGTCTGATAATTAACTTAACTTTTCTACCACATATATAGTGTATGTGTTTGTGTGTCGCCATCTGCTCCCTGTTGGATTATATCATCTCTAGGTGTCCAGCAGGTTGTATTATCTATTCAATATTTCAATCCCTTAATAAATATTTATATCGTTGTTAACCAAGAGTGTTATATATATATATATATATATTGTAATGCGACCCTTGGTAGTTCTTCTAAGGGAATATAAATTAAATAGGAAACCTCAGTACCTAAGGTAGATATAGCCTATCCAGCTATCCCCCGTTGATCCCGTAGAATACTGTTGACGGGCATTTAGGCTCAAACCCTTAATAGTGACGTAACAAATGTATTACGACAACTCTCTTATATCATTTTGTGTTTAATGTTGTTAAGTATGTTTCTTGTGGTTTCAAATTGTAAAGTTGTGTTAATGAACAAGTATCTGTATAAGTATCTTTATGATGTAACCGCCAGAAAACGGCAGAAAATTACAAGAATATATTATAGAGCACATTGTGGGAGTTAAGTTATTAAAACTAGTACAACTTAATGAAAATTCCAATTTGAAAGAAGAAAGTGCACGAATATTAATTACGCTGATCAAATGGTTAAATTTTGAAAACCATAAATTTACTAATGAAGTAATTATTAAGTCCTCTATAAATAAATCAAATATTTTGTTGGACTTTTCTAATGATAATTCATTAAATACTGGTCAACTTATTCAAGAAGTAATATGTAAGTATTCCATATTTTTAATTTAATAAAATGTTTGAGATTTTAATTCAATAATAAATGGCATTTGAATTTTTAATAAAACTTAATTTGTTTATTAGATATTAACATTTAAAGTTTCAAATTTTTGAGTTAATATATAGGTATAATACACAAGGGATTACAAATACAGGTAGCTAATTGATTTTTTATGATATTGCTATCACAGTCACGGATTGTTTATTATCAATTATGACTATCAATAGATATACTTTTTGTATTGTCAGTTAGTGTATTTATAAACTCACAACAATGTACCTTACTATCATTGATAATAACAATGCTGTGTACCTGCTAATATCGATGTCATAAAAAATCAATTAGCTACCTGTATTTGTAATCCCTTGTGTATTATACCTATATATTAACTCAAAAATTTGAAACTTTAAATGTTAATATCTAATAAACAAATTAAGTTTTATTAAAAATTCAAATGCCATTTATTATTCAATTAAAAACTCAAACATTTTATTAAATTAAAAATATGTGTTACCATTTAAAAAAACAAAGTTGACACCCTTACCAGACATAAGGGATGAATTTAAAAAGTATAACATAGTTCATAACTCAAGAATAATGTGTAACTAAAGATAGTAATAAAAAAAAATTTTTTAATTATTATTATTCTGTAAGTAATTAAGTGGGTTATGATAAAAAAATCACCCTGTATAAGGTGATTTTCTCATCATAAAGCACTTATTTAATTTAAAAATAATAATAATATTGATCATTTTTTCTTTTAGTTATATTCTTTTTCAATAAAAATTACTTTTAACTTTTAACACATTTATTTATACTATTTTAATATCATATCATAATTAATTTGTTATTAAGTTATTATCAAATTAAAAATAACTTTGCATCGAAGCTAAAAAACATTTGAATATTTCCAGGAATGCAATTTAATGTTTTAATTATATATATCATTTAATAAAAGAAAAAGAAAAAATCAGAACAAATAATGATAAAAAATATATTCAATAATTGATTTTTCATTTATTCCTTTTAATTATAACAACGAATATATGAGAAAAAAATCTCTATTACTTAAAATACTAGTGATAATGTTTATCATTGAATTTTTTTTTAAATATATCACTGGAATATTTCGTTATTTGAATTAAATGAAAAAATTAAAACAACATTTTATTTAAGTATAATTTCTATTTAAATCAAGGAAAAAAATTGCCATTATTTTTTATCAACATAAATTTTCAAAATAAAAATAAAATATATAATAAATTTATGTATATAAAAAAAAAAAAGATAATGCATGCTGTGAAATAAAGAAAAAATACAGTTAGTATACAGAAACTCAAAATAAAACTAAATTGTAAGAAGAATAGAATTACTATACTAAAAATATAAAAACACCACATAAAAACTATGTATGTTTTACACAATTACGACAAATTCAACAACTTTACCCTTTAATCTTATACCATTTGAATAACCAAAAACATTTATGGTCTTATTCTTAGCTGTTACGATTTTGCAATGGCTAGTATTGTTTTAGATTTTTATTACATAATATTTTTAGATAGATATTTATGAATGGACTTCACACTGTTAACCCAACAGTATCCTAGTTCATAAAACACATATGGTTGAATGATCAATAATTCAGTTGTCGTAATAAGTATTTAATGTTTGCAATCCCAATAAGGCACTTTATAGTGCCTATAAATTGTATTATTCACACCCATGGCGTCCAGCCTTCATACAGCAGTGCCAAATTATCAATACTTGTTGCTTCATTTATCACCCAATTAACCTAATTATATATATTTTTAAAAATTAATAAAGCAATTATATTCAAATAATTTAAGTAATTTAAAGATAATAAAATTTGTTATTACTTGTTCAGTTATAGTTGATCTTCGTCCTACATCTGGATCTCTACCTTCTAATTTCATTCTTACTCTTCGCCAAACACTTACAGCATAAGCGTTACATTTTTGAACAACTAAATAATTGTATATATTATATTATTTGGTAATTATATCATACAAATAATAACAGTAAATTACATCAAATTTAAATACACATTAATATGTAATTTGAATAGTTCAATCAGAAACAGGTTAAATCTTAAAGACAACTATAGGATTTTAAATCTGTTTTCTAAATTATACAGGTTTTTCTGTCTTCTTAAAAAAAAACATTAAGTTATTTAATTAAAAGAACATTAACAATAAAGAGTAAACATTGCAAAACACATAATAAACAGTCGCACTGACATCAAATTTTATGAGTACATGATAAAAATCATTCACTGAGAGACCTCTACCACCTCCAAGCTTTTTAAATTTATTTTTCTCATTACTTATTATTTAAGTATATTTTTCATGAAATTTATCATTTATCATTTAAATTTTTCATTTATAAGAAGAATCATGTCGTCTAATAAACTACCCACCAAATATATGTAATGTGATCACAATGTAATATAATATACATTGTATATAAGGATTGGTGCAACTGACAATAAATTTAATACCTTTTAATTTTGAGAAGAAATGAAAATTTTTAATACATAAAGTTTTAGAAAAATAAATTTTATATATTCAGGATGATTAGTACAACTTATTGCATTGAAATACTTTGAAAATTATCTGTTATTACTCTAAATTTTAGAACAGGTAAAAATATATTAATATAGTATGCTATTGGTGGTGTAATTACGAGTAGATAATTTGTACAACCTAACAAAAACTAATTATAAATCAGTAGCTAATGACTTTTTTGTCAAAACTTTTCTCATACATATAAACACATGTATATATAAAAATAAAAATATTGCTAAATGCAATATTATTATTAATGTAAAAAAATAATTATTAAAATTCTACGTTAATGAAAACAAACCTCTATTATTTCTTTAAAATACTAATAATAATGATTTTGTTGTGAACTTCTTCTAAACATTCAACGTAAAATACATTTTCTAAGTATTTTTTACAGATCTAAATATAATTGTTGAATAATGTTTAATTCAATTTTAAGGTAACGATATAATACATTTGAAGATAAATGAAAAAATAATTTTTAATCCGATCCCTAATAAAAACTATAACTATATATATAATAATATCTGTTTAATAAACTTAATATGTATGATCATTGCTACACTATAACTCTAGAAATATTTTAATATATAAAACAATATGATTTATTCTTATTAGAAGTTAATAGTTTTTTATATTCCGTAAAAAAAATTATATAGTCCTATAAGTTTTTTAAATACTACATAACATAACTGACAAACCTTTTCCTGTATGTGGATCCCTGGGTAAACCTTTTCTTGGTGATAAACATACACTTTCTTGGCGCAATAATGGCGGGCGTTTATTTTGTTTGACAAGTAAATCTTTTTCGCCCAAGATTGATAGTAAATCATCATAGATAGCAGCTGTAAAATAAATGATGAGCAATCTTAAAAAAATAATTATTCTAAAAAATTAAATAATTATTTTCTGTAGCCAAAATTGTAGGTGGCATTTTTAGAGGATACTAATTGTGTTACTTCCTTAATGACTTAAATAATATTCTACATTTATAGGGAAGGTTATATAGAGGGGTGGGGTCATTTGGAGAGAGCAACTGGGGCATTTACTTTAGTCTAAATGTTCAGTACAAATTATTTTAAATTATTACAAATTATATCAGTACAAATCAGGATCTATTGAGCTATATTCATACTGGGCCGAGTCATATCAGATCATTTAAATATAATCTATAAAACAGTGAAAATCAAAATTTTAGTTTTGAAAATAAAATTTTATTTGATAAGAAAAATATTTTTTCATCAATAACTGTTGATAAATAACACAATTTTTAAATCACTGTGTGTTAACAATAATCATCACAAATTTAGAAAATATTATTTCTATCTGTAGTAATCATAAATAGTACAAACTTCTGTTATAGGTTGATTTTAAATGAAACGTTTTTACATGTGCAATAACTTGACTGTGAAGTATTATTTTTTTATTAACAAATAAAATAATATGTCAAAAGTCTACAATCAGTGCCGTGCTAACTGTCATTGGTTCCCTAAAGCAATTATATATTTGGCGTTCCTATTTAACATGGGTAGAAATTTAATATACCTTAAAAGAGTCAGTTACTCCTTCCGTTCGGAGGCAATTGTGCTGAGAGCCTCTTGTCCGATAATCTATATTTGGAAACCGCATTGTAGGTTATTTACCTATTGCAATAAGAAAGATCGGGCGGAAAGTTTATAATTAAGAGACGCGGCAATTCTTCCTTTTCTAGTATAGCGGAGACCTTCTCTAGAGGGATCGCAGAAACCTACCACTACTATTCCCTTCTAACCGTAAGTCAAGGTATACGGCAGAACACCACCGGACCTTAATGTCACGAGGTGACCAAGAAGAAGTATCGGGTCGGGATCAAAGTGTGACGCCTGTTAAAGGTCATGCACATTTCGGAAAAACGCAAACTCACAATGCTCCACAAGCTTGAAACCAAGTCCTACACCACGAAACTGGTATGCAAGCCGACAACATGGGCTTCCAAATTTCTCGGTTTACCACTGTTAGTCCGGACAACCTTGGACTGGTCGCGATCTACGAAAACATCTATCTGTTACTGCCTATCAAGTGGAGAACCCTAGACCTGACAGGACTGTTGGGACCTCCAATTGGGAGAACTAGGGTCACCTAAGCAGAAATTGTTATATCTCAGGTTCTAAGACTCTAAATGTTATGCTATTACAACAAATTAATGCATAAACATATTGACTGCATTATGTCAAAGTCTCAGATTTTTAAAACATAATCTTATATATATATATATATATATTAATGCAAATGACCGGGTTTCCCAGGGGAATATTGGCCATACATAAATAAATGCAAAAAGATATGGATAAAATAATTTTTAAAAAATCACAGAAATATAGTTTATATAAATTATAAATTTATAATAATTTGCTTACCTTATATTAAATTTCTTAAAAAAATTTTTTTTAGATAAATAAACGCTGAAAATTATTTTCACATATTTAAACGTGAAAACATTTTTCAAAAATATCGTTCTAATAAGAATAAGGTTTTTTTATCATTCTTAATCTATAGAAATGGTCAACATAATTTTAGATGCATGGGTTTATGAGATAATGAGGTGATCGGTATTACCCACTGACCATAGTTCTATCCATAAAATATCTTATATACATAAATACAAAGATAATAACATTGACTGATATAAAAAATATATCTTTGAATAAAATACTTATGAAAAAAAAAATGTATTTTAATATGTATTCATATTTTTTTGGAACCCTTAACACCCTTAACACGTCTCTGCTTACACACCATCAAAAATATTAAAATCCCTTTTAATAATGTTTTTTTTTGGTCATATAAAATTAGTTAAGTGGTTTAGTAATTGTGATAAATTGTAAGTGGCTTGTGAATAATGGGACGGTTATAAATTTCCCCTAATCTAGCATGATCTGAAATGACGCCTCTAGGGCTTATAAATCCTTCAAACCCCTCCTTTTCATCTATGACAATATGATGTTTTATTATTAGTAGCATAATATTTTTATTAAATCACATTTTATATACTTCTCCCCCCCAAGTATAAATTGTTTGTTTTCTATAAAAGTAAAATTTCACTAATATTTTATGTAAACATATTTTATACTATTAACAAGTTTTTAGTCCTATGCAAATTTAAAAACTTTTATTCAACTCAATTTTTAGATATTTTAATATAAATTATTTTTTGAAAAATAATTCATACATTTTTCAGATATAAAAACAGAAAATAAATCAGTACATTTTTAAAAATGCACATCCCAGTCAAACTTTACTTTAGTAAATTGGACGATTCTGGTCTGAACTTGCTCCTAAGATTATATTTAAACTCACATCTTGGATCTCAGTAAATTAAATATTTTCTATACATATAGATTATGCTAGTTTTTTTTTTTAACTATTAATAAAACTAATAAAATTAGTTTTTGTTTTGTATAACTTATGTTAGGTGTAATATTTTTTAATAATAAAAAAAAAACTATTATAATAATCTTATGAGAAATTAAAGTTTTAGAAAAAACTTTTTTTTTAGAATAGATTATCTATTCTAATAGGTTATTTTATAAATATATGAGATTTTCCAAAAAATAAAAACATACTCTTGTATGTATTTAAAAAAATCATTACATACTTATTAAATTTAACAGTAGAAATACTTACATGTGTTAATTCTCAATGTTTGTACAGTTTCTAATAAATTTTGCAAATATTTACTACTTGGTTCATCGTGTGTGTTTAGTAATTCAATTAATGACATTAATTTTTCAATATAGTTTGAATACTTTGACATATAGTTTATACTGGCAGTGCCCACATTATCAATCTTAAGAAAATTAAAATTGTTAGAAACTAATTTAATAACAAATTTACCTATTTACTTTAGTTAATGATTTTAACAATGAACGAATATCAGACATAATTTTGTTATGTGATGTCAAGGTCGATTTAAGAATAATTGATTGTTCATTTATACATTTTTGAATGTGATTTATTTTCGATCTAAGTGGTTCTTGTGTAGCTACTAATTTTTGAACATTATCTAGAACAAATGTAGTGTTATATGAATTAAATGTTAATTAATAGTGGTGTAATTTGTCAGCATAGAGACAATGGTATGCATATGAATATTATTGTTTTATAATTATAAAAAGAAAAAAAATTATTTTAAAATAAAATGAGTGAACATCTTCTATAAATATAGTTATTTTTTACACCAAAATATATAGTTTTACCACCTAAAATTTCAGATATAAAATATTCATAAGGAAAAGTGGATTAATATATCGTAACTCAAATTATGATTTTTCTCTTATTTTATTAAATATTAACAAATTATATAAATATTTAAAATACCTGAAATAATATTCACAGTATCATTTAACCAAGACCACTCAATGGGACCCTGAGGTAAAGGAACTACTTTCATAAGGTTTTCTTCCTCTGGAGTTATTGATATTCCAATATTAGATACCATAAAACATGCTTTCTGGTAATCTTCTACCAACTAAAAAGTTAATAAATAAGTTATTTAACTTAAATGTCAAGCTGTAATTATTATATCTATTTTTAGAAACATTTAAATCTTCACAAACCAAATTTATTCCATTAAAATTCAAAGTATAATATATTTCATTCAATTATAGTTTTCAGAGTTTAAGGATCAATAATTTACATTTTGTAATTAACATAATTTTATAAACATTAGTAAAATTTACTTGTAAAAAAGAGATATCTGCAGATATGGCTTCTGAAGTACGTGTAAATAGTGATTCAGTTTGAAGTAAAGAACTAACTACTGTTAATAAAGATGTGCACAAGCTTTGGTTAGAATCAATTATCATTTTTTCATGCTTCATTCTATCTTCAAAATTATTTGTTACCTATATATAAAAATATTAAATAATAAAATAAAATAAATTTACACATTAAAGCTAAAACAAAAATATTTACTTCAGCAACAGAAGGATTTGCTCCAGAAGCCCATTTTAAGCGTTGTTCAACAGTTACTATTAAAGAACTTCTATGTTCCATTTGTTCAATAATTTGAGACTGTAAAACTGCTAATGGTGATAAAATATTGTTTAACTCCATTAAGATTGTGGCTCGATCTATAAATTAAAAAGTCATTAAACAACTCAAATAATAAAATGATAGAGAATTTTCACCTTTCTTAAGTTAAAGGAAAATGCAAACATAGAAAGAAATTCATCTAAAATTATAATCATTCTACTAAATAAATTTAAAAAAATGATAAGATTTTTCAACTTATTACCAGGTATGAGTAAATTGTCAATTTGTCCTATTGTAGGAATAGCATGCAACCAACAGTGAGAAGCATATTGAATTGCTAATCTTTGAGCACTTATATCTGATTGCTGGGCTCTCATGGTTAAATGAGTATGCAATTCAGATTTCCTCCAAAATTCTTCCAACTTGTTTAAAGAAGTTGAATGATCCAAAAATTGACCACGATTAAATTTACCCATTTTAATAGCCTCCTCCGTACATTTTTTACAAAGTTCTTCTAAAGGTATTTTACTATCAGCCCCAATATCTCTTTTTTCTAATTCAGCTATGTGATAAAACATATATATATTAAATTAAATTAAAAAACTGTATTTATCAAAAGATTTACCACTTATATTAAATCCAGTATGTTGCAGTAAAAAACAAATAGTAATAGCAACAGTATGAGAAAACAAACCCAATAAACGTTTTGTTAGACAATCAGCAACAAAACATTTTACTGGTTTAATTATAACACTTTCATTATAATGAGAAATACCAATTCCTTGAGTATTTCTTCCTCCAAAGTTTATTGCTATTTCAGTACAAATATTAAATACCTCTTTCATGGTTAAAAGTGTTTTTAGAAACATAATATCATTCAATATACTACAAGGCTCATAATCTAAAACGGCTCCCTAAAATATATGTTAAAATTTGCAATATTTTAGTTTCTTAGTATAATTTTATTTATTTATTTTTGTATATTTTAATGACCAAGCCCTTGATAAACATCATAATATAATTGGTAGCACATTATTCATAACACATAACTAAGATAAACATTTAGTATAAAAAACAAGAAATATCTCAGCGTTTCTTTTGAGAGTTTAATAACAAGTACTGTTAATTCAACAGTAAATGAACAGTTATAGTGTGAGTATAGTAGTTGTAATGAATAATATTTAAATAAAATTTAATTTTAATAAGTAGATTTTTCAGTAGCAACTATTGCTATAAATACTAAAATAGTCTAATAGATTATATACAGTTTTATTAAAGATTTGTAAAAAAAATTAATAAATATTTTATTTTAATTAATTATATTTATTTTTTTTTTTTTATATATTTATTTTAAAGTTATGTCAATGATGAAAGAAAATCAACCGAGTTAAATATTTGTTGATATTTTTTAGTTATAAACTAATGTTTTAGAATATATTTTTAACTTTAAATAATTGATTTGTAAATAGATTAAATAATTTTCTATTTAAATTTTTTGTAAAAATTAATAAAGTAATTTGAATAAACTACAATTTTTTAACAAATTTAATAAAAAAGAAAATATACCAGTAAAGATTTAGCTTCTCTTATTTGATCTACTGTTTTCCAAGCAGTTGGAATCTTAAGTTTAGATTTTGCTTTGATAACATTTTCATTAGCTAGTATGACATCTTCAAATAGCCCATAAAATCCAATTAAAAGCATTTCACCTTGAGTTAGAACAATATTATCATGTTTTTTTATAAGTTCAAAAAATTTATTTCGAATATCTTGCACAATTATTTGACAACTATCATTTGGAGACTAAAATATATTTAGTAATTAAAAAAAAAATTATATCCTGCTGACACTTATTAATTTTTAATTATTACTTTCATTCCCATTATAACATGACGTAAGTGAATGTTCAGTTGTTCTATCAAATCATTGATATTCATAGAACAATTATTAATAACATTATTTAAATTTGTTATGATTGCTATAGTACTAGGTTCTTCAACACATAACTTTTTTATAGTTTCTGGCATAATTATGTCTATAAAGTTATAGTTTATTTTCTAAAAAATAATTTTTCAATTAATGTATAGACAGTATATATATCTAATGTTATAAATTGTAATTTATGATACATAAATAATTATCATTAAGATAATTCATAAAAAATTATGGAAATTAATTTTATTTAAAAATTGTATACCTGCAAACTACAATAAAGACTTTGAACTGCACGTAAACAATTAAAAGCTGATATTAAGTCAGAATCAGTTTGAACACTTTTTGTATTATCATTTGTAAGCACCAAAGATCCTATTTTAAGAGCAACAGTTGTCATCATATACATATCAATTAAGATCCATTCTCCATCTTTAGATGTCATATCTAATATTCGTGTACCTGCATCTGATTAATTTTTTTTTTTAGTTAGAATTTATTAATATAATATTTATATTTAATTACTAGATGCAGATGTTTCGATCATAAGGAATTTTTTATTTAATGTAGATAGGTCAGCCGCAATTATAAATTCCAAAACATCATGAGAGTTCTCAATAAGTTTAATTAAAATACTTTCATCACTTGATGTTGAAGTAACATAATCTATTTCTCTGATTCGTTCAATAATTTTAGCAGTATGGCAACTAGCTTCTAATGCAGTTTGATGTAACTCCATATTATAAGTTAATGTTTGTTGTGTAGGGGGTTCAGCTTTTGGTACACCTAAATATAACATTTTATGCTCTTCTTTTACTTGTTCACACATTGAAATTGTTGGACAATCCATAAGTAATCGTAGCCACTGTTGATAATATGTTAAACGATGATTACGAATATGAGATTTGGGAAATAAATTAGTTAAACACTGAACATCATTTAGTAATCTTAAACAAAGAGTAATCAGTTTATTTTGACGATGACATAATAGTGATAATTCATCATTTGATTGCATGCACTATAAAAAAAAAATGTGTTAATTATTTATGTAAATAAATGTCAAGAAATTATAATAATTACTTGTTCTATTAAATTAGTTTGCCCAGCATTTTGTAAAAATTCTTTTACATCTTCTGATAAAAGACTATTATAGCTTTGATGCAATTTTGTTTCTTCTTTTTCAATCATTAAATGAATCTGACTAGCAGCAAGATAATGCATAGCCATTTCATATTGTGATAATCTAGAATCACAATCTTCAACTTTTTGTCTTAAAGACATAGTTGAACCAATCATCATGCTCTGAGTTTGCTGTAGTGCAAAGTAACGCTCAGGAAGTTTATATAATGGATGCTGACCAGTGGGTGAGGCTTCAGCTTCTTTTACCAGTGCCATTAATTGATGACTTTCTGCTAAGCCTTCTTCCATTTTTTGCAATTTAACTTTTTCAATCAAGTAATTATTTATACTTTCTTCAACTGTTTCTAAAGACTCCTCCATACTTTTTCTATTAATTAATAACACTTACTATTAATTATTAAACGTTTTTAGATTTGCATTAATATTAAATTAAAAATTAATTTTTTTATTATTCTAAAACTAAAAAACTTGAAAAAATCGCTAATAAAATATACTTGTCATAGTCTTGATTTCTTAATACAAAGATGTATAGCTAGATAAAATTACAAGTTTCCTACTAATCCATATTGACTTTTTTTTGTTAACTATCTTATTTTAGAGATATACATTATGACTATTATGTGCTCCCCTTAATTATGTAACTGAATATACTTAGACATTAACAACAGATTAGTGGTATCATCAACATAATATAATATTTTTACTAAGATAATTTATTTATAATTTTAATTATTATAAAAATTTACTTACTTATTGGTAATCCAATCATACTTTGCTTCTGTTATACGAATATTCAGCATCGCTAAAGTAATTTCTTTTTCCAGTTGTTTTCTATTTATTTTATTTTCTGTAACCAATGATCGACGACCACCATATACAGCACCTGTATATCCAGTTTCATTTTCAGGAGTCCAATCAATAAGTGGATCATACACAAATGCTTCTAACAATGTTAATAATGTTTCTTTATTTTTTCTCAACACTTTCATAACTTGTTCACAAGTTAAACGAAATTTTCCCTAAAATTATAATAATTGTTGAATAGTGTACATATTTTTTAATCATTATGTTATAATATTTTGTTATTTATAATTGGTGAAATAAATTACCTCTATTCCAGTAACCCCTAAAGCTTCTTTTAAGTTTGGAGTTAATCTAAATGGTACTTTCTCAGGAACGCGCAATGTTTTACCTTTTTCAAAACAAACATTATAATCTATATGGACAACCTAAAATACAAAAATCAATCCATAATTTTTATAAATAAAAAATATATGTAACAAAAATCAATTTTTGAAAAATAATAACACAAAATGAAAACATGATAATTATTTACTAACTTCTCCACTTTGAAGATTTACAAGAAGATTATCTAAATGACGATCCCCTAAACCAATAATATAGCCAATAATAGACATGACAGCTAGTGATGTTGCATACAATGATGATGATTGCCACCAAGAACCACAGTCAACACTTTGTGTCCACAACTCACTTAAAAAAAATTAAACAGTATGTTTTCTATTAAAATCAACTTATATATGGTCTCAAATCTCACTATTATCTCTTAAGTTTATATTCCAATTATCATTTTGTTTTAATTTTTGAAATTTTGTATTTTAAACATATTTTTATTATTTTTCTCTATAAGAAAAAATCAACAATTATTTCAAAATTTCTATTTTTTGAGTGTTTTTCTACCAAAAATTTGGATCAGTTGATGATAATTTTAGAACAAGTACGCATATATAGTATAGACAGAATATACATATATACTATTATGGACTGTACCCCTTTGGACTGAATACCCACTATATGTATTAAAATTATTATTAATTAATTGTAAGAAAAATGATAATTGTTTATTTTGAAATATAAAAAATTACTACGCAAGAAATTTTCATGATTATAAAGAAATACTATTCACTAAATTAAAATTTATTTAATCTAATTCCTATAACTTAAAATTTCATATTATATTTCACAATTTTTTACTTGGAAAGTAAATTTTTTGGTGTTTCATTCATTAAAGAAATTAAAACTTCTTTAAGGATACTCAATGGCCATTCTTTTCGATTATCTAAATTTGTGATGCCTTTTTCTTTTAATAAGGGTACTAATTTTGAATTAAATAACTCTGAAGGACGCATAATCACACCTAAAAATAAAAACATTATGATTAATTTAAATAAATTATAATGATTAGAAATTTATTTTAAACAATGTATTTTTACCATCATTATTAGATGCATGTCTTTGTTGCCACTTTTTGTAAAGCATAAATATAGGAACAACACCATCAACCCAAGAAATTAAACCTGATCTTGGTCCTAATGGTATAACTGGATAATGATGAGCTCTATACTTTTCACAAGATCCACTAAGCAATGTGTTTGTAATACACAGTAATTGCATTATACGTTCATCTAAATGAAGATCTTCAAGGCCTTTAAACAAATATGTATAAGCTTTTCCATCTGATCCATAGAAAATAAGTTTCTTAGGTTTAGTGAATGTAGGTAAAATGGCCACATTATTATTTATAGAAGCAACTGTAACAACACTCTCAACTCCTGGCATAGCAATTTTTGTGTCTTTTAGATTAGCTAATATTGGACTAATAGTATCCATTTTTAATGAATATGAACCTCGTTTGCTTATACGTGTTTGAAGATTATTTTGTAATGTTTTTATTAATTTCCAAACTTCTTGTACATTAATTAGAGCAAAATCTGTAGGTTTTCTTAATTTGTCTAACATTTGTTGTATGTATGAGCCTAAAATAAATTTTAAATATGTTAAAAACTATAAAATTAATAAGCAAGAAAATTTAATGCTACTCACCAAACTTTTCTTGAAACCATTTTTCATGAGGAGTTTCAGATTTAACTGAGGTAATAGCATGTAATTGTTCAAAAATAAAGAGGATCTAAAAAAAGAAATTACTTATTTCATTCTTTGGCTAGGACAATAATATTATATAATATATTTCTTATAAATATTTTTTACCGGTCTAAGTAAAATTGTATATTTTTCTATAGCAATACGTTCCTTTTCAATTTCTGAGAGATATGGATGATTTTCAGTTTTACTTAATTCAGACTCTAATTGAGAGATACGTCTACTTATGTCAGCCTGTCTCTGTGTAAGTGTTCCTAACCACAGCTCATCCCATAATAGTGTGATTCTACGCAACTCTGATACTAGAACTCTTACCTCAGCAATCATTTCTCCTGCCTTTCAACATTTAGTAATCTTTAGTACAATTTATAGTAATATTAAAAATACTCTTATTAATTTTTAGTACCTGTTTTGATAATGTGCTAACCATAGAATGAAAACAATCTTCAAGGACTATTGCTTGTTCATCTTGTCCAATTTTCAGATCATCATCTTCTTCATTGCTATCTATTTCTTCGCGTACTACATTAATTTCTTCTAGCATTTCTTTACATGGTTTAATTAATATACTTGAAGATGGTATTTCATTTATAGTTCTTAGGCCTGTATCTGACCCAACAACTGCTGGAAATGTTATAAGATGTGGTACATCTATTGCTAATCTACATAACAATTCAGACACAGTACGTCTAACATAAGGTTCAGGATGGGAAAGTCTAGAAAAAAGTTGAGGTATAATAGATCGCCAAGGTTTTGTGGGAGTATTGCTTAATCCTTCTTCTAGAGAACCTTGTAATTCTAAGGCGTGTTTTACAGTGAGACGTAATAATCTCAAAGTGGCTGCAATTGATTCTTCCTTAAAAATAATAACAACACAGTTAACATTTTCAACTCAACTTCAAAAAATAAAACGATTGAAGACAATGAGTCAAAAATTTAATAAGATAACTTTATTTATTCAAATTGACCCACCTCAAGTAGTTCGTACTAAGGTAAGGAAAAAGAAGAATTTTATTTATTCAAATTACAACATACATATTTAACTAATTCATATAATAAAAATTACCCAATTAATAAAATGACTGATAACAAATTTTGAACAAGTATTTCGAAAGTTAATAATATTTTTAAATGTAAACTAGAGGCTAGTTAGTAATGTTATTTTTATCATTATGCATCAAAAAATTAATAACTCCTGAAATACTGACTCAAAATTTGTTATCTACCAGTCATTTTATAAATTGGATAATTTTTTATTATATGAATTAGTTAAATATGTATGTTGCAATTTAAGTAAATAAAGTTATTATCATTATAAAGGATAAGTTTATTGTTTTCTATTATATAAACTAGTTAGATTTATTTTGCTATTTGAAAAAAGAAATTTACTACTCTTATAAGGGATGAGAGATAGACCCAAACAATATTGAACCACTCAAAAATTAAGAAATAAATACTACTTAATAAAATAAACGCCATAAAAAAATTTATCTAAATTATTATTATTATTAAGAAATCTCATTATGATATGATGTTGCCGACTGCAGTAGATAGAGTTACTTGGTTTGCACATAGGTTGGAATACCGTAAAAACCTAACGGCAATTCAACTATTAGACAATTCCAATAGTTTTGACAAGAATAAAACAATTCAGTTTATGTTTAGCGTTTATAATGGTAACATTATTACCAAAATAAGTATCCGGGATTTTAAGAAATTTTTTTTTTGTGGCTTTTTTAATTCAATATTTTTAATATAATTTTCATTTTCATTAATTAGCCACAAGTGATTAATTTTTATTATATAACCAAAAATTGAGAAATTTTTAAAAGTGTGGGTTACTTTTTCAATTTTCAGTACTGATGGGTTCAAATAGACTACAATGGTATTCTTTTAACACAGATCAATAAAATCAGTACTGTGAGAATTGAAAATTGTAAACAGGTAAAAAAAAACACATTATGGTAAAATCAAAAACTTCTCAGTTTCACATTGAAACTATGAGAAGCTAATTATAAAGCAAAAATAAAAAATTAACTAGATATTTTTTAAAAAATTATTACTAATATTATACATTCTTATTACTTGGTAGCTGCTGCACAGCTGCAAAAATTTAAAATATGATTGAGCTGAAAGTTGATAGTATCCATATATTCTAGAATGGGATTTTCTCCACCAGTCAATTAGTCCAGTTAGTTCATTTTCTTCAAAGTACATAACATTTTGTAACTGGTATTCTAATGTTTCAGTAGTATAAATATGTTCACTCTAAAAATCATTAAATATTGAGATAAGGTTTTTTTTTTGTAATTAATTAAAATATTTGCATAAAAATTGGTTTCTTTGATACTTTTTTTTAACAAATTTTAAGGTTTTATTAGCTATCAAATCAAATTAAGTTTTGACCCTAAATTTTCTCTTTTGATTACATCACAGAAAAAATAAAAAATCATAACATAAAATTATGTTACAATACATTTGAAGTTCAACATAGAAAAAAAATATTAAAAATAATGTGCACATAAATTAAAACTCAAATCTCATATTTTACCCAAAATAGTTTTTAAGAAAATTTGATACCCAACCCAGTTGAACTGTACATACAAAAAACAGTTTAACAACAACAAAATTGACTACCTCTATATATAAAGTGTTCAGTATATAAGGAAACAGATAAATTGTTATAAACAATAAGAACAATACAAAACAGTTTCCTTACTTACTGAACACCTGTATAATTTTTTCATATTTTAATATTGTGACATCATTACTAGAATAGATAAAAGTAATACAAAAATTAAAAATTTTTAGGGATTCCCCATTGAAAAAAAAATCATAAGTTATTAGATTCTACATAACATCGTGGGCCACTCTTTATATAGTACTATTATAATTTAAATACATCATATACCAAAAATCATATAAAATTGTTTTTTTTACTATTGTATTTTTGATTTTTAAGATTTTTAATTTATGAGTTTAGTAGTAAATATTGGATTATTAAACACAAGAAAATATAATATTAGCTCTGTCCTATACATTTTTATGCATAATTGAAACTTTTCAATTAAATAAATATATATCATTTGATAAGACTAATTCAATCTAATAATGATAATGAAAAAAAATATCATAATATTAATATTAAAGCTATCCATATTGAAATATATAGATTTTTATATCTTAGCAGACAATTATAAAATAGTAAATTATAAATATTATCATACTCCAATGTCATCATCATCTTGTTGAGGAGGTGATGAAGTTACAACATTAAGTATTGCATACACTTTCTCTCTATCTTCAGCAGTAGCACTTGAAGGAATATAAGTATCTATTTTGGCCATTTCTGATTCATTTAAGAAATATGTATTACGCTTATAAGCATCATCTACAACTTTACGACCTAGTTTATAACACCAGCCCGCTAATTCATTCCAAGCTTTTGCCATAGTTGGACAATATGACACTGTTATCCTCAAAAGTTGGCCAACCAAAAGGGTTACATGATCCAAATCATTTACCGACGTGTTATCATAATCTAAAATTTTATTGCAATTATTCTTATAGTAATAATGAATAAAATTTTAATTATAGCTTATATTTATATGTATATATAAGGTGGTCATTTTAATAGCGATTGATAAGTTAAAAGTACTTTTTATTGAAAAAAGAATATAACTAAAACAAAAAATTATTAATATTATTATTAGTCTTATTTGATTAAATAAGTGCTTTATTATGAGAAAATCACCCTATATATATAATTTTTATAAGAAATTATGGAATACTTACGTATTACTTCTCGAATAAGTTGACCAGTATTTAATGAATTATCATTAGAAAAGTCCAATAAAATATTTGATTTATTTATAGAGGACTTAATAATTACTTCATCAGTAAATTTATGGTTTTCAAAATTTAACCATTTGCTCAGCGTAATTAACATTCGTGCACTTTCTTCTTTCAAATTGGAATCTTCATTCAATTGAGCTAGTTCTAATAATTTAAGTCCAGACTTCATACACATTTCAATTCCTAAATCTTGAGAAACGCATCTAAAAAAACAATAAAAATTATTTATTATAAATAATATGAGCAAATTAACTTTAGTTTATTTCAGTTAAAAACAATCAAAATGGTACAATTCTATATATCTTCAGCTAAATACTAAAATATATTTATATCTAAATGAAACTATAACAGTTATTAAAAACAAAATTATAATAATTTTATAACTGTAATATATTCTTGTAATTTTCTAACGGATACATCATACAGTTACTTGCTCATGAGCACAACTGTACAATTTGAAACCACAAGAGTATTGGTACTATAACCACATTTATTTTATATATAGAGCATTTTAATGAAATGTTTTAACTCAAAATAGTTGATATATAAGAGGATTTTTTAAGCTTAATTGTGATATTATGAAGGTATTTTTTTACCAATCCAAGTAATAATTTAGGTAGGCATATTTTTAGTGGAGTATATACATAGAAAAAACTTTGCTCTTTAAGCAAAAAAAAATTATAGTGTTCTTCTTTGTCACAAACAAATGTTTGTCTCGTTTTAATTTCTCCCTAAATTATACCTGTATATTCATATAGAAAACTCATCTTTCATTACACCAATATTGCTCAATAGTAAGACCACTAATTATTATATTTAGTTCAAAATTTGGAAAAATTCACAATCTTAGAAAAAATTAATTAAATCTCTATTACATAACAAAGCCTTATATAGGAGTTCAATACGTAAGGAAATGGGTTTCTATTGTTCTTATTATTTGTAACAATTTACTTGATTCCTTACTTACTGAACACTCTGTATAACAGAGTAATTAACTTTTAACTTACCCTAAATAAGATGGCAAATATTTTTAGAACCTCTTAGGTTTAGTTTTAGTTTTACTAATTTTTTTATTTTGCATTCTTAGACTACTTTAAAAGCATATTATTTATTTTTAATGATAAAACAATTAAAAATAATTTCTATATGTTTATATACAAGTAAATTGTTACAAACGAGAACAATAGAATCTATGTTTCTTTACTTAATAACTAACCTTCTATACAGAGTGATTTTTTTATCATACCCCCTTAGTTACTTACAGAATAAATATAATTTAATCATTGTTTTTTTTTTTTTGTTTTCTTTAATTACACATTGTTCATGAATTATTAACTAGTAATATTTTTTAAATTCATCTCTTATGTCTTGTAAGGGTGTCAACTTTGTTATTTTAAATGGGAGGGAATACATATTTTGAATTTAATGAAATGTTTAAGGTTTTAATTTAATAATAAATGGAATTTGAATTTTTAATATAACTTTATTCGTTTATTAAATATAAACATTTAAAGTTTCAAATTTTTGAACTAATACACATGTATAATATACAAAAGATTACAAATACAGGTAGCAAATTGTTTTTTTATGACATCAATATTTGCAGGTACATTTATAAATCAATGGTAATAAGGCACATTGTTATGAATTTACAAATACACCAACTGGCAATACAGAAAGCATATCTATTGATAGTCATAATTATCAATAAACACTCCCTCATAACTGTGCAGAAAAGTCATAAAAAACTAATTAACTACCAGTACTTGTAATTCCATGTGTATTACCAGTTAGTGTATTTATAAACTTACTTCATTACCATTGGTAATAAATGCTGTGTACGTGTAAATATCGATGTCATAAAAACCCCAATTAGCTAACTATATTTATAATCCCTTGTATATTATACATGTGTATTAACTCAAAAATTTGAAACTTTAAATGTTTTAATCTAATAAACAAATAAATTTATGGGGGAAGGGAATTCCCACTGTAGGTGCATGCCACTTAAACACTGCCTAAGTGCTATTGTTTAGCTGTGCTCTTTTCTGTTTATTCCTAAATAGATGACCATACAGGAACTTTAATAGTAACACACACTTTGCTCCTTTACTGGCTTCATTAGCCATAATAAAACATTGTATCAGGTCAACAGCTAGTGTAAAAATCATGTCAAATTATCAGTAAAATGGTATATAAAGATACAAATAATAGGGATATAAGCTGAGAAGATGCTGATAATTTTTTAATTTTTAAATAATATTAGGAAGAAGTTATTCATTACTAATTTTTTATTATAACAATCTCAATATTTAAAACTATGTTGTTGGAGAATCTTTAAATTTTTTTTATTACTACAAATGAAATTATATTTACCTATATACTAATTTAGAAAATTGTCGTACTACTACTGCATGATTCTGTGGCCAAACATTACAATTATTTTCATTTACAAGAAGTTTTCCAACTCTTTGTAACAATGAAGAAATAGACTCAGATTTATTTTCTAATAAATTGTTTGATAAATTTATAAACTCATAAGATTTATTTGATTTTAAGTAGTGAAGCATTCCTCGAGTAGCTAAATTTACATTACCCTCTTTTCGTGCTTCTACAGCCAACTAAACAAAAAAAATATGTATAAATATAAGAAAATTTAAATAAAAATTAAATATTTTTACTTTTAAATATAATTCAGATGCATTGTATTGTTGATTACATTGTTTAATACTATTTAAATCTAATGACTGATTACTAAGAATTTTCATCCAAAATAAAGCTTGACTTATCAAACTAGAACCCAATGATTTGACATTCATTTCATTAGTCTATTAACAAAAAAAAAAAAATATATATATATAAATATACAACATAAACACAATTAACCATCATTGACAGGACTGATACTTAGTCAGTTTAAACATAACACCCTTAGAATAAAAAGATTCTAACATGACTTTTTTGAAAATATTTTTTTTACACTTCATAATTATATTAAAAAATATTTAAAATATATTCATTACTTGGGGAGTTACAGAGAAATTATTTTAAGTAATGAAAACTAAATACACAATAACTAAAATAAAATTTGTTAAATTAGTTAAAATTCTTATTTTGAAAAATAGATAAGAATGTAACATGGTTGCTAAAGATTGACAGCCGGTTATAGAATGTGTACCGGAAATTGTATGAAAAAAGACATGGTACGGAATTAGAACTCATTAACATTAGACCACCGGTTGATAATGTGATGTGTGAATGAGAGAAATACTGTACTGTGTTAAATGAAAAGGCTCTATGTAGTCAATGTATCATTTTTTTGGAATGAAAGTCATTATGTACAAAACAAATTTATTTTAATTATTACAAATCGTTAAGTTAGGTACCCAGGTTACTGCTCTTTGGGATTTTTTTTTTTTGAGTCAATTTTCATAATCATAATACATTATAAAATTACATAAAACAAATTTTTTGTTACTATTAAAATATTACAATATTTACATACCACATCCCATTGCATAGGTTTCTCTTCTAAAATACATTTTATAGCATAAGAAAGTATAGATACTTCTTGAGAATATTCCAAAAGACTATCAGTCAAACATTCTTGAAAAATATTACGTATGACTTCTTGACAATCTTCTACAATAGGTTTTAATTTTCTAAAAGAAAAAAAATTATTACAATTAGTAATTTTTTAAGAAATATTCAAATTGTTTTTTTTAGTGTAGGTGATAGGAGCATTTTTTTATATATGCTCCTATATATTTTATTTAAATAAATATTTATCAGCATATATTATTTTAAGTGTAATAATTAAACCACTTATTTATTTTAAATTAAATATATAATATGTATACTATATAACTTGATTATTAAATAAGGTTAACTTTTTAGTTAGCTAAGTATAAATTGGTTCATATATTTCATAGATGAAACTAAGTAAAAGTGAAATTTAAATATTAAATTCTTTATAAAAAAATAGCAGATTGAGTGTGATGTGAGGACAGCTTATGTGAGCGTAGAAGATGTGGGAGATCATGTCAAGTGGAAGTTTAGATTAAGGGTGGCCGACCCCAAGTAGTTGGGATCAAGGCGAGGAAGAAGAAGAAGAAGAAAAATAGTAGATAAATTGGATATCTGAAAAGTTCCTAGTGTGCCAGTTTTATAATATACTACTTGACTAATATCAGAGAGATGACTGAAAATGCTACAGAGATCATCTCAACCTCCATAACACTTTAAGTAGATTTAAAAATTATTGCTTTAATCTAAAAATAGCTGAAATAGTCTAAATTTTTTTTTAATTATTATAATTTGGTTAACTTATCTTTCCTAACTTTAGAATAAGAAAACTAAACTATGAGAGACCCTAATAGTAGTAAACCCTCACTATTTGTAAAAATAAATGATCAAACAACCACAAATAAAATGTTTAGCTATGCTACAAAATGTGATACCTAAATTATAGTTATTTTATACAGAATTAACTTATTTATAGTTTACTATGGTTTTACTGACATATTACAATTTTCTTTTTTTAAAGATTTACTTATAATTTATCAAAAGCTAAAGGTGACCAAGAGTAAGTAGAAGTATGACAGAGTATATAGAGTGGAAAGCTTATTTTGAAAATTACTGAATGAGGATTATCCAAGAAACATTAAAGACTATCTTGAGGAACGAGGGACAGGTAGATTTAATTATTGAGAAAGACGTATGGGAGGCTGTTGAATGTACCGGAGTAAAAAATGTGGGCGGAGTAACAGAAGATTTTAGGGTAAGAATAGAAGTACACCAATGTTCTGCTTTAAACTCTTACTTATTTTCTACAGTGATAGATGAAATTACTATAAAATAGTAAATATTGTAAATAACTAAATATAAGTATTGACTGATAATATGACATACTCATCCAATTTTCCTTTATAAATATTTGTTTTCAGTAATATATACACTAATTTACTTCGAACTTCATTAATTATATCAAAGCAATTCCAATTGGTCTTAATGACTTTTGGTTGAAAGTCAATATCCCAGTTTTCTAAACTATTAATATAATCACAGTTACCATCTTCTAAATCATTAATGAATTGTAAACTGATTTTTGATAAAAATCTCTAAAAAATATATCAATATAATTATAGAGATGAGTTTTATAAGATATAAATTGAAAAAATTACATTTTGCCAAAAAAAACAATCTTTATTGTCAGTTAATAAAATATTATCTTCACTATGTGTCCAATCAAGCAAAGGTTTCCAATCACATATAGCCATATAGCATTCTTTTAACTAAAAATAAAAATATAGAAACTTTTATTAGAAAATAATTTTTGTCTATAAATAAGAATATTTCTATTATAAACTAAACAAAATTATAAATAAAAATATTATATTTTATTCATAACATTTAACAATTCTTTTCAATTTTTATTGAAATATCAATATAAAAGTAAATATCTCAACCAGTTAAATATAATACAGTTTTTTTTATAAATTGTAAATGTTTATTTATATAAAAATAATTCATTTTACTTAACTTAATTATTATCTCATTGAACGTATTCAGTTAAATAATTGCTAATTACTAATAATAATTACTTTAAAATTTGATGCATTTTTTTTTAATGTTATGAAGAAATATTAGTCCATTACAATTGCATATTTATATTATCAAAATATATAATAACTAATTCTTAAGGAGTGAACTATCAGCCTTTTATATTTTTAATTATTTTATTAATATATTGTAAGAAGAAAGTTTAATAATTTAATCTTAAACATAAAAACTGCAATGTTTGTGTAAGTCAATTTTAAAATATTTGATTAATTAATACTTCATTATTTTAAACAAAATAATTTAGTTACAAAAATTGTTAATAAAAAAATCAACACAGTGGGGACATATTATAGTTGGGTCCAGTATAGATTTAATCTGACAGTGATTAACATTACTATCATAAATAACACTTTGATGCAAATCTGTAGATAGTATTTAATTGTAAAAATTGGTGGATTATTCCAAAAACAACATGATCTCCTATATCCTTATTTATATCCTAATTACAAGTTTTATAATTTATAAGTGTAATATATTTAATATAGCATTTAAATATAGTATGAAATTGATATTTAATAATTTAGTATTGTAATTTTTACAGAAAAATTATAAAAAATTATAAAGTAGTTATTACTTTTATGGCAAACGTAGATAAAAGTCTTGATGCAATACTTAAAATAAAAAATTGTTTGTTATTTATAAATAAATTTATATTCATTTGGTTATTTTTAAAAAAGTTATGGCAGTTTTAAGTAAAAAAAAATTGAACAAAAGTCAAAAATTAGACATTTTTAAAATTGTAATTTTTTTGGAAATTTCCCCTATTTACAGTGAACGAGAGAAAGCTTTTCAATTTTTGAAGGTAATGTTCGACTAAATACGATTTATGATCTTTTGACGTATTGTAGAAAGAAATCGGTTTGGTGTGGGAGCTAAGAAAAAGTGGTAACAGACACAAAAAAAAAGAATAAATAATTAAAAAAAAAAACTCATCATAGTAAAATTAATACTTTCTCATCTTTGCATCACAGCTAAAAACAACCTAGATCTAATTTTTTTTTTTTTAAATCAAAATAACTAAGTTAAATATGATCATACTTTAGTAAGTCTGTGAAAAAATGTAAACAATCAGGAGATTTCTAAAATAGAAGGGTTGTATTATCTTATGGGATTTACTATATATTTAACCACCTACAAATGCATACAATGGTGTTTAATAATATTGATTGAAATGATTAAAAAATAATTCTTACGAGAATTTATTTTAAAAACATTTATAAAGAAAAAAAAGAATAATAGTAGAGTATTAATGTTTTTTTGCTTCAAGTCATACATGTATACAGTCAACAATGTACATTGTTATATTTGATTAAATACCAAAGAAGAATTAACATATTTTAAAAGTTTTTAACACCTATTTTATTGAAATAGCAAACAACAATCAATTTAGTTTAAGTATCATTACTAAACTAGAAGGGAAAATTAATTTAAATAAATAACAGTCTTGATGAAAAATGGTCATAATCATTTTTTTTTTTTTGCTTTTTACAACATAATAAGTCGTAGCAGCTTTCTTCAAATAAAAGTTTTCTTAACCCTTTATAATATGTAAAGGGAAGTTGGTCCGTCAGTAGAAAGAGGGATGGTCACTCCATTACTGAAGTGATATCTCGCTCAGAAAATTGAGATACCCGTGACCAAGTCTTGAATTCAAAAACATGTGCATTAGACATTGTCATGTTACCGATTAAGCTACACAATCCTTCATAATAAAAATCATCATAATAATTACTTTAAAAATATTCTTTCAGAAAAAACAGTTTTATTTTTAAGTTTAAATCTATATATTATGAATTCTTCTTAGTCTACGAAAAAACAATTAAATAAGAAATATTCATTTTCTTTGTTCAGATTTTAAAATTTTAAAATTATATCTTTTTATAATAGTTACCTGTTCTGATATAAATTTTTGTAATACCATCAAAGAACCATCTATATTCTGTGAATGATTATTTTTAAGATTAATAATTAGTTCTTCGGAATTGCCCGTTAATATATGAATGTAGCACTCCGCTGCTTCTTCAAATCTAAATATATTAAATTTTATTTATACTTAACATTAACTTAAATATAAATGACATGTCAATAAAATTGTGACTTACTTTCCACAAGCTTGATTAGCCATTACATTTAAAAATGGGAGTTTCAAATGAACATTTTCTTTAGACCAAACATAAAGACCTCTAATGCAGTCAGACTCTTGAAGTCTACAGTATGCCCAAGCAAGTTGAATAATAACTAAAATATAATCTTTAAGAGGAAGTTCTGAATGCTTAGCTAAATGTTGGATTAAATGTTGCCCATGACGAATGGCAGATGAGCTCAAACCAGAGTTTAAGGAAACAGCAAGCATCGCACTACGTATAGTTGTATTCCACTCATAACAAGTATTCCGATTAGTATGAAAAAAATGTCGAACAGGCTGCAAATACATAACTTATGTATAATTTATGTATTTAATAAAACAAGAAATTTCAATCACAGCTTCAAAATACAAATTTTTATTTTCATCAAATTAAATATTTAGGTAACTAGATACCAATTATTAATGAATACATTCAAGATGTGTACTTAATTAAAGAATAATATTAATAAATACTTTACTTTCTGTGCCGGTGATAATGTCGTAGCAGTACCATCAATTGCATTACATACAGATTTTTCTAAAAACTCAATAAAGGTTGTCAAGTTCCTTGCATTTCTTAAGTTTATTAGTTGACCTTCAAAATTTTCAACTTGGATATTTTCATTCATTTTTGAAATTGAATCACGTGCCCAAGATTTTATACCATCTAATTAAAATATATTTTTAAGCATAATATAATTTAATATATGATATTATCTTAGTTATAAAAAATTTAATATATACTTTCAATAACTCGAAAAGTAGAATTTGGTTTTCCAAAAGGAGTACGAAGACGATTTGTTACACAAAAGTTAGCTGCTTCCCAGTTAACCCAAAAGAATAATAAAATACGATATTGTTGAGCATAAGTTGATAAATCAGTTTTTTCGACTTCATTTTCTAAAGAACAGCCATTCATCACATCCAATAGCCAGTAATTGCTAGAGTTACTAAAAATAAAATTATTATTCACAATATAGATTTTAATACAGCTATATAAAAAAAAGCATGATTTACTCTTCAATTCCATTCGGCTCAAAAATTTCACACATGTAATTTTTAAAATATTCCGTTTGTAATGTGACATCAATTTTTCGTCTCATATGAGAAACCATCAAATTCTTTAATTTTTTGTTGAATTTATTTTCACATTTCTAAAATAAAACAAATATTAAAAAAACCAACTATTAAGAGTCCACAATAATATACACGAGCTTCAAAATAAAAATGAGAAAGTAATATCATTTTTTTTAATGTTTTTTACTTTTGTTGATCGTAAAAATACTCTACTTCTACTGGATAAACATTTTTAAATAAGCTATTAAAAGATTACATTATTTCTATAGTTGAAGTTGCTTGATACTGATATTTTCTCTATTAAACAGTTATTATATACTTGTGTAAAAATAGAGGAACATCATAAATGACAAAACATTATACAGTTACAGTTATACTAAGAGTACAGTCACTCAATATTATACTGTGCTTATAGTCCTCACTTTATACGCTGTGATCAAAACTACGCATCCTCAAATTGAGAAAAACTCAAAGACACTCCACCTAAATATGCCGTATGCCAAAACGATCACCCAGCAAACTACAGAGGTTGTCGGATTTACAAGGACCTACAACATACTCGGATGTCAAAATCGAACTAAAATCTCCAACTTACTATTGAACCTTCACATGGATATTTTGCTAAAAACAAGGAGGTACCTCTTTCTGACTTTAGTAATAATATCATATGTAAAAATAACTGCCAACTCTTCTACTTATTCCCACCCTCAAGATCAGGATAAATTATTTTCTGATTTTCTAAATGAGTTTGAATCTTTATTAAATTCACTCCTCTACCTTCTTACTACAGTATTAAACCATCATTTAAAAATAATATATAAAAGCCTTATTAAACCAATGTTGACATATGGCATTGAACTATGAGGTGCAGCAAAAGTCAAACATTAACAAAATTTAAGTTCACCACCAAAATTTCTTTGTCATATACTCAACGCCCCTCCTTACATATCAAAAAAGAAATCCATAATGACCTCTAACTCCTAACCATAAAACAAACTGCTATCTTCAGATACAAAAAATTCTACAACTCCAAAATCATCCAAACCTTCTCATTAAAACCCTATTCTCCCAAAAAAGTCTTGATAATCTTCCATGTTGGCTAAAAAGATCTTAGAGGATCTACTTCAACTATAAAATCAAGTATGTTATAAAAACTCTTTAATTTACTAAATTACTAGTCAGTTGGACTCTTGCCACTGAACAACTTCTCTACAAATTTTTTTTTTTTTTTTTTCAAAGTTATTTGTATATAATAATATATTTTTTTTTATCATAAGTACTTATTATATATTTTAAGCAGATTGTATCTTTTTTTCTACATAAAATTCTATAATTTAATAAAATTCTTCAAAATAGATTCAATTTGTGATATTTTGACCTGTTTAAAAAAATTGGTCCAGTAAGAACTGAGAAAAAATAATGATAGACACAAAAAATAAAAATAAACATCATAGTAACATTAATAACTTCTCAGCTTCACATTAAAGCTAAAAATATAAAGTGTTTTAATTTAAATTAAGTCTTTTTTAATGTTGTTATACTAATTAATTAAAAAAGAAGATAAAACAGCTTAAAAAGAATTTTTGGTAGTGTTTTCAATTATTATATGATCTCTTATAATAATTAAAGTTCATCATGGAAAAAGAGGGAAATACTTATTATATACAAAATCATCTTATTTTATTACCAAATAAGTAAACAATTTAATTACTTAGAATTTTCAAATAATTATTTATAATATTTATAATATTTTTACTCACTAATGACCGAGTTGATAAACTTTGAAGAACAGTTACAAAAGATATTTTATGAATTAATTCATAATAGAGTTTATTGACCTTGTTATCAATAAAATTAACACACATAAGGCATAAATCTAGTATATCAAAAATTAATATTGGCTGTAAAAAAAATGATTTTAATTAATCAATGTTAATTTACATTATACTTTAATAAAACCTATAGTAATATTTATTCTAACTTACTTTTGATTGACAAAATAGAGAATTTTCAAGAACAATATTGAAGATTTGTGCTGTTCCTTCGTAGAGTGTATGTTGATTACACTTCATTGTTGTATAAATTAATGTTTTTATAATATTTATCATTTCTTTAGAAAGTAAAATTATACTTAAATAACTTGTACTGTCCGCTTGTACCATAAGCTCATGAATCCATTTTAATATTAACTGTTTGCAATCAACATTTACATTCTATAACAACAAAACTAGTAAAATATCTAATATCCAAGATAATTAAAAGAGTTTATCACCTTTTTTAAAATACTATCAAAAATACTAAAAATTTTGATAAGATTCCCACTTTTCTGAGAGTTTATTTCTACACTTTGCTGAGATTTTTCACTTGTTCTCATAGCTGTTATTAGTGAGCTACTAGCAATAAAATTTGAATGCCTATAATAAAATGAGTTTCAACTTTAAATATACATAAGTTTATATATTTTTTATTTATTAAGACATTTTAAAAATGATAATAAGTTTATTTTTTATGTGACAGTATTTATAAAGCATAAAATCTTCTTCTTTTTCCTTGTCATTATCCCAACTACTAGGGGTCGGCCACCCTTATTCTAAACTACCACTTGACACAATCACCCACATTATCTACACACACATAAGCCATCCTTTTATCACATTCATTAACATCCCTACATCTCTTTTTTGGTCTTTCTCTATTTCTTCTTCCTTCAACATTCATTTCCATAACTGATTTTAAAGCTTCCGATTTCTCTCTTCTTACTTTAATAAAATTTATTATAGTATAAATATATTTATTATTAATTTTAATTAATATAAATACAAAAATAAATAGATTTAATTAAGTTATAATATAAAATAAATACATGTAGCACTTTATTTTCAAAATTAAATTATTGTTATTTTAAGTCCATTAATTAATATAATTAAAAATATATACAATTTTTTTTTTTTTTTAGAATTTGTGTAATTATATAATTTTGGCAGATCATTGTATTCAATAATCTATTGAATCACTTTATGTGAAATTCACATCAAGTGAATTAAATTAACAAATTATAAGTTAATATTTATTAGTAATAAATTAATGTTATTAAAAAATAATATATTAATTAAAAATAAAAATGTTAATATTAAAGATCCAGTTGTATGAGTTTAAAATACAAAATATTTATTTATATTAATATAATAAATTGCAAACAATTGTGGAATGTAAGCTTGTATCTTATGCACACATTAACAAATGTACACATTTATTTACAGAAACATTATAAAACAATAAAATTTAGACTAAATACTTAATAAAACAATAGAATCCGTTTAACGAATGTTTTCATTTGCGAAACAATAAAATTTGAACTGTATACCTAATAAAACAATAGAATTCATCTATAACGGTCATACATGGAAATAAATACTATGGCTGACCAAGAGACACGATTATTTTTTTTCGGACTCTCTGTAAAGAAGTTTTACTTCAAAAAAACTATATTGCTCTCAATTCCACTAAATATAAATGTTTCTGTTGGTGAAGGAAATTATTATTGATTTGGGTTAAATAATTTTAGAGTTCAAATTAAAATCAAACCTGTATACTATAAATATATTATATGATATAATATATGAGATAATTACTTCGTTTTAATATATTTACTAGTAATTTACTGTAAGAAACTTAAAAACCTTATATTTATATTGAATAATGGATAAGTAACTTATATTAAACAATCGTCAAGTTATTTAATACATTTAGTTTGCAAATTTTGTTTATACACAATTAATAATAACATTTATATCATTTTATACAATTTATATTTAAATAATTTTATAAATAATTCTTACTTTTTGCAATGTGAGTACAATAAAAATAGTAGTGAGTAACGCTGTGAATCTGTGAGATTAATATTTGTTGGATCTAACCTTGTGGATAATAACTCAAAAATACTTGGTTGTAATGCCCACATACCAATAATTGAATTACTGTCATTAGCTAAAAAATAAAATAAAAATACAGATTTTTATTTGTTATTAATGTCACTAAATGTTAACCTAAAAATGAGAAAACATAAAATTTACTATAATAATAAAAAAATTAATATTTAAAATGTTGGGATGCTACTGAACATTATTAATAACACTATTATAAACAATCTTCCGCAGAGGAATCCACAAGAATCACAGGCCTAACAATCCCACGGACCCTAATTAATTCAGTGGGTGTGGCAACAAGTACCACTGCTCTTAGCTGGTCATGACTTTAGTTAATTGGGACCGGTAGGCCTCTGCACACCTACTTGCTAACAGCGAATAGGCCCCCTAACCTAGCCATACCAAGTAAAAGGGTTTCTAACTTGTCACAGGGTAGTTAGCCGAAAGGTAAAGTGACCATTAGGATCATCTATGGTACCTGGCACACCAAAGAGTATACACAATATTGAGCTCTGCTGTAATGGACCTTTATTTCTAGACTACTCGTGGGAACTATATGGATAAAAACATACAAACACCATGAAATAACGAATTTGGGATAAACAGGGATTCTTCCGTCAAGGGAACCCGTCGGAACATGAGCGTGAACTGGCGACTCTTCAGTTCAGCTGATACAGCTCTACATTGCCTAACCACTAGGCTATGAAAAGCTGTGGAGAATAAAATGTATGCAGTAGGTATATTCCTGGATATCGAAAGGGCTTATGACAATACTCCCTTTGAAGATATGTGTGAATCTGCATAACAGCATGGAATAGAACTACTTATTACTAAGTGGATAGAAACCATGCTTAAGGAACACTCCAATTTGAAACAGCTCAATAAAGTAAATATGTTATATTAGTAAAGAAAAATATTAACGAAAATATATTTAATGATATATACATTTTTTAACTTACTAATACTAATTTTGATTTATGCATTTTTTAAAAAGTTATAGAAATTCAGAGTTGAAAATATGACTAAAGTAAATATTTACTATTTTTCTATTGGCCATTTTTACATAAAAAAATAACACAGCTCAACAAAATTTGGGCCATATATTTGAATGTTTATAAAAAAAATTTTTTGTTCCCAATAAGTTTATTTGATGCTTACTTTAATAATTTTCTTAGTTTTTCTTTACCATCGATATTTTAATCATAATTTAAGTATTTGTAAAATTAATATTTTTACACATAAAAATATATCTAATCAATTAGTTTCAAAAGATCATTTGATTAGCATTAACTGTAGATGATATTTATTTTAGAAAAACAGTTATATACTTAGGTTTTTACCTATAACAATTAATGACTTCAATGAGATATGAAATATGATTGAAGCTTCTTCATGTGTATATTTTACATTGGTAAATGGATTTTCACTACAAAATGTAGGTAAATTACTATCCAATGTTTGACAGGCTTTCTCCAAATCACCAGTAATAAATCTAAAATATTCAATAAAATCACGTTTGTAAAATATGAGTATAAAAAAATAAAATAAAATGACATTTTGAAAAAATATCTAAGAATCCTGTAAGATATGTGTTAGTAATGTTTATTTATATATTTTCAAATAATTTTTGTGTATAATTAGTTAATTTTATATAAAATATTGAATGATAAAAAAACAATTATTATAAATACCTATATACAACAAGTACTAAGGATACATTTTTCATACTCAAAAGTGTTTGAAACAAAGCAACATATGAATCATGTATCTTTATGGATGGATAAAATCTTAATTGTCGTAAGCATGAAGTTTGGCATAGTAACATTTCAATAAATTTTTTTGATAAGTTTGTGCTACTTTCTTTTATAAACTAAACATATACATTTTAATAAAATAATTAATTAAATATAAAATTAAAAATTTAACTAACTTTTGATATCATTCTGAACATTGATACAATAACTGTAAGGTTAAATTCATTAATATTTAAAATTTCCATTTCAATAACTTGAAACATTGAATCATTAATTAATGGTGTTTGAGATTGAAGAATATCCAAAAGTAACCAAATACAATTATTTGCTGCAAATAATGTAGTTTATACTTAATTAATTGAAAATACTACAAAACAATAATTAAATTAACTTTAAGTTAGAAATTTACTTGGTATTTATTAAACACCAATTGTGTCTTATCAAATATTCAGCGCAATATAAAATTAACTTTTGCAATTGTTACTTAGTTTATTGTTATGGATCTATAAAAACTTTTAAAAATAACCACACATTTCTTGGGCTTAGTCTTTCAAAGAGTAATTAATAGTAACCTAACTAATATTCCTTTCTTTAATTCCTAATTCTAAGTTATTATTTGTATACATTCAGTGCACTTTTGTCTTTTATTGTATTTGTTTTATTACTATATTAAAACTATGTGTAACGACATAGTTCTTTAGGTATTTTTGTACTGTTATTCAACAGTGAAGGGAACTCTTTTTAATTGTATAAATACAGAATTATAATATTGTTTAAAAAACTTATGTCTTGAGCCTAGAACTGAATCTATGTCAGGACACTTGTCACATGTAATCAATGTTTTTAATTTGAAGAATTACTAAATTACTAACTAATAATTAATCAATCTTATTATTCTTTCACCATTTTACATATAAATATAGTCAGACTAAATGGTTTAATGTAGTCATATATTTCTTAAGTACCTATAGAATTATCAGACTATGATAAGCCTACTTAAACTTCAACACATGCAAGAATTTTTACCATTTTATTTAGACATAAAAATTTTAAAATATTATATAAAGCTAGTTTTAGGGTAAAAATAGAAGTGCACCAAGATTTTGCTTTAAGAGAATTACAAGAAGAGGTGCCGTAGTGCATTTTGTTCGCTGACGATATAGTGTTAATAAGAGAAAATAGGAAGGAAATTAATCAAAGACTAGAGTTGTGGAGATCAGCTCTTGAAGAAAAGGGTTTAAGAATAAGAAGGTATAAGACAAAATATATAGAGTACGAGTTTGACAAAGAAGGTGAAATGAGGAGTTCAGTAACAATAGGCGAGGATGTGATAGGAGAAGTGGAAAGTTTTAAGTATTTAGTAGAGTTAAACTTGACTCCATTAATTTAAATATACATGAATTATGAAATTATCTATAATAAAAATATAAATAACTGTAATAAAAATTTTATATCGCTTAATTTAGTAAATTTGAGTCCACACTAAATAAAAATAACTCAAATAAATAGTGTGTTCTAAAATAATTTTAAAACACATTTATTTTTAATGATTCATTAATTCTGGAAATTTAAAAATTCATAAAAATTAAATATATTTTTATAGATCTTTCCAAATTTTTGTTGACATTAACACCTTTAAAATAATTTATGGTTAACTTTTTTTTTTAATTACCTGCTTCCACAATATTTTCATTTAATATAATGTTCATACAATTAATCAATGTTTTTAACACAATTGTTAATGCATTACTTAAAAAAGACCAAGACACAACTGATGAATTTTTAGGACTTAAATGCTCCCCAACACTTTCAGCAACTGTGCAAAATACTCTAAAAAAGTAAATAAATATTATATGATATTTAGTTTAAAAATGAATTAAAATATAATCAATGGATCACTTTTAAAACAGCAAAAAAGGAAATAGTACATAAAAACATTTTACTCTAAAAAATATTCATTGTAATTATTAATATAAATAAATTAACTAATAATTTTACATGAATTAATTTTTTATACTAATCACATATATATAATATCACATATTATATTCACTTTTTTTTTTAGAAATATTAAAACAATTGAATAGGGTTTTTTTTTGCTATTTTGATAGACCTTCGTGATAAAAAAAAATTAATAGAAATACAAGTATAATAATATAACCTTATAAATGCTAATATCTTATCTAAGCTACAATCAATTTCTTCGGAGTTTTCTTCTTGTTCAAATTCATTTGATATTGAAGACATATCCTCCAATAACTGATCTAATAAACCTAAAGTAAAACTCATATCTGCTGTCCAATAAGTTGACAATTGATATATACATTGTGAAATACGTTTATTAGTTTCATTTGATTGAGATGTATCAATATGCCAACCTACCAGGATATCAACTGTATCCTAAAATTAAAATCAATAATGATTCAACAACAAAATATAATGCATAATTCATCACAAAAAAATTCTTCTTTTATATAGTTCCAAAATTTTTTACTTAATATACTCAAAAAATCCACATGCAACTTTAGATGTAGATTATAAAATTGTACCTAAGTCTGTATTTTTATAACATATTTAGCATTTACTTAGTATTCCTGCTCTACTATTGAAATTTACTGCTAGTGTCTGGCTGTTAAATTCTTACTAAAATCTGAATCTTTCCCTCAATCTATTATTTATTCCGCCTTCTATTGCCTCAATTCAACTTGGCATCATATTCCTAAACCTCTCCTAATCCTTACTTCAATATGTTTTTTTTTCTTTCCTCCATCATCCCTTATACTTACAAATCACATAGTAAATTTCCCTAGGCCATTCCAAGCCTTTATTTTGATCCTTACCATTTTTATTATATCTATTTTTTATGATTTGCAATAAATTATACAAAATATTACCTAAACAACCTTTACCGAAATTCTGTAAATAATCTTTTTTCTTATAACTATTCCATATTTCCTGATTCACAGAAAAGCTATCACTATGCATACCCATTTCAGATTTGACCATAATCTTCTTCCAAGCTGCCACGTTTTCCTGCTTTCTCTGAACTCTATTCCTTAATGGATATTTGTTATGTTTATCAGTAATAGTTAGGTAACTCTGTCCCCCATATTAATCATCAATTCCTCTCTTATGATTTAACAATTTAGATTTTATCATAATATTTCTAAACGCTTTTGTATATTGTTGCAATTGTTTTTGTTTTGTATTGTATTAATTGTTATAATTTTTTTTTAGCTCTCACAAGACTGATTTCTTTCAACAATACATCAAAAGATCATAAATCTTATCTAGTTGAAGACATTGCCTTAATAATTTTACTGTTCCCTATAAATGGGGAAAATCTTCAAAAAAATTACAATGTTTTAATTATAATTTTAGATTAAAATATCAAAACAAAACACTACAAATAATTATACCAGGGGTATTCAAAAAGTAAGTTTCCCTATTTTGGTATTTCTCTCCAACACCACCTAATAAGCTCATTAGCTAATAATGCAAGAATACTTTTCTTAGCAGCATGAGTTCAGCTATCATGAAGCTAATAGTAGAAAACGTGTCTGGTTGTGAATTACATACAGTTATCCATTTTTTAACTGCAAAAGGGATAAATGGTAATCAGATTTATAGTCAATTAGTGACTATTATGATAATGACTGCATGAGTGTGTAAATGGTATGAATATGGCGCACAAATTTTCTAAAAGGATGTATAGAAATGCACAATGAGCAATGTACAAGATACCCAAAAACCATCATTACAGACGATGCTATTGCAGCGGTTGAAAAAATTATTCAGGAGAACAGACAATGGACTAAAGATGATATATTGATATGATGCCTCCTAAAAATCAAATTCACTGAACTTCAATCCATACACTATTATCAAAGAAGCTTTATTACAGTAAAGTTTGTATGAAATGGGTCCCACTCTTGCTTTCCAATTCTTAGGAGAAGGTTATGGCTACGGTTTTTTGAGATGAGTTAAGTGTTTTGTTAGTGGATTTTCTTGAACCAGGTATCACAATTAATGCGAATCGATATTGTGAAGTGCTAAATAAACTCAGAAATGCCATCAAACAAAAAGACCCAGAAAAATTACCAAAAATGTTGTACTTTTTCATGACAACATTCGGCATCATTCTGCCAAAAAAACACCAACTTTAATACAAAAATTCAAATGGATAATTTTCAACCACAAAACCTACCCTCTGGACTTCGCACCAAGTAACCTTTATCTTTTCCCAAAATTGAAAGAAGGCTTGGGTGACCAGCACTTTGCTTCAACAAACAAACTAAATAGGTTGTCATATCATGGCTCTAAAAACAGGGCACGATTATTTTTAAGAAAGGTTTGTTTAAGCTTACAAACAGATACCAAAAATGTATTGAAGTTCAAGGCTATTATGTAGAAAAATATTTTAAAAAATAGTCAACGAATAAAATTTATTAGTCTATAGTCTAAATCTAGTTTTTAATATTTTTTCCAAAATAGGAAAACTTACTTTTTGAATACCCCTCGTAATTATTGTAATAAGTATACCTAACCAAATACATACCTTAAAATAGGGTTCAAAAGCTTCACAGTATACATGAGAAAAATTTATAGCAACTTCAGCAGTAACTGTTATTAACTCAGGTGAATCAATAGATTCTAAAGCCAAATGCATATTTTCCAGTATGAGCTGAAATAATTAATTTATTATTAATAATGTATTAAAAGTAAATTAAAAAATAATGATTGGTTAAAAAAAATTATATTCAATAAATGATATTGAAAAGTTGATGAAAACTTTATTTAATATAGAAGTTAAAAAAATTTTTTTTTATGACTTCCCACTTTAATGGCTATTTCAATGTAAAAAATATTAAATAAGGCCAGAACGTTAAAAAACACAGATTATTCAATATAGACTTAATCGAATTAAAATTTTAGACTTAACCTTATTATAACTTAAAGTTTACATAAAAAAAAAAAAATTATGTGAAATTCTTAGTTTTAATTACTTTCTAAAAATGGGGCTTTTTTTGTGAAAATTGACGTTTTTCAGCTCACTTAAAACCATTAAGAAGTTATTATTTTATAATGATTTTCAAATGTGGTATTGTATAGTGTATAATCAATGTTTCAACTAAATTTCAAATATTTAAAACAATTTTCTTGGGATTTAGAGGAAGTTAGAAATTCTGTAAAAATACACGTATTCTAGGAGCATTATTTCTGTTGGGCGACTTAATTTCAAAAAAAATTTTTTTTGATTTTTTAGTTTTATATCTGCTTAATACACCATAAAAATTTGAAGTTTGAGAAAAAAGTGTAATATGTCATTGAATAATCTGTGTTTTTCAACATTTTTTACATTGAAATAGCCATTTAAGTGGAAAGGTCATAAAAAAAAAAATTGTTTTAATCTAATTATATCATAAAAAAATAAACCTTGAAAATTTAACAAAAAAATGAGTGGATATGACAACACTTCTGAATGATTTGGCATGGATTTACCCTATTAAAAATTGGATTTCTGGGTAATATTTTACTAAAAAGAAATTTATATTTCTTTCTTGTGAGACAGACTTATAACTTATCTTGGATTATATTTAAATAAAAATTCTCCTGTTCAGAGAAAATAGAGATATCCCATAAAATTCTAAATGAGAATGATATAAATTAAAAAATAAATATTTACAACCTATTCCTGAGAATATATCTCAGAACAAATTATACATTTTAGCATCAATGCAAAGCTGAGAAGATATTGATTTTACTATGATGTAATTTTTCCATGTTACATAAAAGTTTTAAGCTAAGCCAATTTTGATGATCTATATGTTAAAAACTCAGATTTAATCTAGTTTAACTATATGCTTCATCAGAAGTATCACTAAACTATATATTCTAAACATAACACTCAAATACTTACGGGAGCTAGGTTTTCCAAATAAGATTTTTTTTGATCTATTAAAGACAGCTAGAATAGTTAAAACAAAATTTTAGTACTTCATTGCTATAAATAGTATATAAAATAAGTTACCTCATAAAAAGCTAACATTATTAATGTCTTAACTTCTTTGCTACGTTCAGAGTTATATTTATGAAAAATTAGATCAATATATCTAAAAAGCAAACATATAATAGTCTAAAAACGTATTAATATGTATATGGAATAAAATAAAAAATTTACCTTTTACAGTCATATTGTAAAGCGTGTCCAAATTTTCCTAAACATTTAGCAATTGCACATTTACCATATGATGAGAGAGATGTGTGTAAACATTCATATAAATACTCAATAATGTTATCAGTAGCACGTCTGATATACTTTTTATTTTCTGGTAATAAAAATGCTTCCTATAGAAAACAACGATAAAATGACAAATTTTTAATATTTCAAAATTAAACTTCATAAATATACTTGAAGTTGATTGCATAATGATATTAAAGTTCGAGTATCTTCTTCATTGACCATTTTTCTAAGAATCTTTGATATTTTTGAATCTTCAGATTGCCCATTATGATTAGAGAAAGTTTCTAAAATATAATCACAATTATATAAGAATAAACAAAATTATATTTAAATATTTATTTTGATTAATTTTAATTTGATAGGGGATATGGAAACAAAGTTAGCAAGTATTTCTTTAATAATTTAAGTGTCATGCTAACTATCAGGAATATTAATTACAATCTATTACTTAATCGTAATGTTGTTGTATCAATGCTAGTGTAACTTAACACAAAAAAATTCTTCCCGTTTTCTTACCCCATATTTCTGTTTCCTAACAAGATAAATTTTTGAAATTAAAAACAAAGATTAGGCTCTAGATTAGTTATTTAGTAACTTAAAACAATGTAAAAAGTGTAACTCTTAATGTTTAGCCATTTTAAAATTTCAAAGTTTTTATATTTGTTACTAACTCATCATTAAAATTATAAGATGATTAGAATTAGAAGATTCATAGTACAGGTAGAAACGTACAATTTGACACAAAAATTGGCTTTATAGTGTAAATAAAGGAAAAAATCAGAAAATAATTATTTTTTCAAAATAAACTGTCATCCATTCTGATTTTTAGTGAATGAAAAAATTATGTATTTTAGTGAGATAAGACAGCAAAAAAAAATGTTATCCCTACCAAAAAGCTAACTTTGAAATGAGTCAACTTACAACCTCTCCCTTTCAAAAAATCTACTTATCAATGTAGTGATACCCACATTTTGGCTAATTTAAAAATTATGTGAAAAATTGAAAAGCAGAAAAGAAAAGATTATTATTTCATGCCTCATTAAAAAAAAAAGGCTAAATATTAATCAATACAAATAAAGGAAAAGTATTAGTATGAGGGTAGGATTGAAATTTATGAACTACAGAAAGAGATAACTTGGCCCATAATAAAGATATCATTACTTTTATAGGTGTATTTTTTTAGGAAGGGGTTGGAACGTCGCTCTTTTTAATAGTCAATTCTTGTTGAGGATAATTATTAGCAAAATGAAAAATATTGAAAAAATTAATTTAAAGAATTTAATAATTTATTTGAAACATTTTTACATTCATAATTATTATCCACACACATGTTACTGATTAATTTCAATTGACAATTCTAAATTTATTAAAGTTATAAAAAATGCAGTGCAATAATTAACACAATTAAAACAAAATGTTGTCACAGGAATTTAAATAAAGGCAAATTGCTGTAAAATACCACAATAATTTACAATAAACTATAAATAATATCATTGAGTTATCTATAGTTTTTCTTTCAAGTAATAAATGATTTCAACTTATCTGAAATTCAATTGTAATTAAACTAATACTAAAACACATAATTTTAAATAAGATATTGAAAAAAAATTCACAAGTATTTGAAAAAACAAAAACTTATCAAAAATTGTCTTTATAAGTATATAGATATTATTGTCATGTTTTATTTGTCATATCAATTATCTGACTACATTCACTCTTTCTCCAGAATCTGTGATCTACGGAGAAAGTTTTTAACACATAGAAAGTTAATACATCAATACCCTTTTAAACAACAATATTAGTAACTTTTCCATTTCTGTCACATCTAATAAATTTAAAGGTGTCTTGAGTAATAATGCAATAATTTTTTGAACATTACATATCATGAAAAATTAGTTTTAAAGTTATTACTGCACAAAATAGTAGTATTAAGTATTTTTCAAAAATTTCTATTAAACAAGAAAATTATGAAGATTAAATCTTCATTAAATGGCTTAACAATTTAAAATTTTCAATAAATAGTAACTAAATTAAATTATAATATAAAGATATATTACCACTTGAACGATAATTAGAATAATATGTTGACTTGCTTGATTCATAGATGTCATCTTTTTTCTTAAAAGATTCATCATTATATTTACGAGAAGTTACTCCATGTTCACTTATATAAGAACGATTTTTAATAACAGATCGATGACCTCTGTAAAAGGATCCAGAAGATTTGTTTCTCTGAAAGTCATCTTTTCCATAACTACCGTTTTTCATGGCACGATCTGCCATTACCATGTCTTTCTTAATATCAACTAAAATAATTATACACTATTTATAATTATACTACAATATGATACTAAAAATTATTTCAAAATAAAATATTAAATATATATAAACAGTTTTCAAACCAACATCCTTCATACACGAAACTTAACTTGTTTACGATAAATATATATTTAATTTTAAAAAATTTGACCGAAAAAACACTAAATAATACTCACATTGACAAGTTTCATTCATTACCAACAATCTTGCGCGGATTCATTGCTAGAATATAAATTGAATGAAAAGGGGTTGATACTAACATGAGTACTTTTTAAGCGGTTATCCCTGATGAATGAGCAAAGGGTAAAAATTTTAAAACGCATGCGCTATCAAAATGATAATACTTCAACAATATTAGATAATAAAAGTTATTAAAATAAATGATAATAATAATAATAATAATAATACAGTTAACCTTACATTTCAACGAAATGAGTTATTTTATACTCTTATCGTGAAAACCGAAGTACTCAAAATGTACCTTACTAATTCTTATAGAAATGCGCCATCTATCCATTTTTTATAACATAAATATTATTATCTTTAATGTTTTTAAAAAAAAATCCTTAAATAAGGATTTATAATAAAATTCACCATACTCTAAACTAGTGAGCATTAAAATCTTATCAATTTCAAAGGCGGAAAGGACCTTTTAAATAAGACAATAGAAAATTATTATTGAAATGATAGATCTTGGCCATAGAGTAATACTCTATGATCTTGGCGCCTGTTTGAGTTATCACTTTTGATTACTAATAGATAATACCTCACTATTCTTAAATTTTTTACTGTTGTTGATAAAACTATATTTTTAATGATTAACTAATTCAAAATATAAAACGGCATTATTGTATATATATTGAAATATATACACAATTTTTTGCCATGTACATTTGAACAAATAATGAAATTAGTAGAAAGAGTATTTACTTACTTCATATGTTTAAACTTCATGTGTGTAAATTGCCTAATAATAAATGTAAAAAATCAAGTAAGTTTTAAATCAAATTAAAAATATAAAGTTTTAAACACTATTTTTAATTAGTGTTTATACAGTGACTTTGATAGGGGTGCCAAAGAAGTATGGCTTTGTAGTCTTTTCATTATTATTAAAATTATAAATAATTTTATAAAAGTTTTTCCATTGTTTGAGAGAATTTCTTTATAAAACGACAAAATCGGAATAGACATGCTGGGGCTTATTTTGAATTTTACTAGCCTACCAATATTTCCTTTTTTTTTATAACAAGGTAATATTACCTTGTTACTGTACAACCTACTAATATTTTAAATAAAAATGACTTTTTATTATCACTTTAACGAAATAACATGTGTGTTTTTATATGCTTGATACAATAGTATATTTAAATTTAGCTACTCAAACATAGATTATGACTTATATCAAAAAAAATACTTAAACTATTTTAAAAAGTAGGTTTTTAATAAAATGTAGCTTCTTTTTTTGAATTTTTCAAAAAAAATAATTTTTAGATGATGTTGATTTTTACAATAAAAACATTGTAACAAACACAATTGTTCCATCTTACTCATTTAGTTAGTTAAAAAGAACATATTTTATCCACAAAAAAATTGAATTTGGGTCATTTTCTTTTTTAAGTTGGTATGTTTAAATAGGATAAAGTTTTTGAAAAAAAAAAAATTGAGAGATAAATACATTATTTTGAGAAAAGTAATCCATTAATAATAAATTTTTATGAATTATTGATATATCAATTTGTATGACATTTAGAGTTGTTGGGTCATTAAAGTTTTCAAACTCACGGGATTAAATAGGTGACTCAAATATTATTTAAGAAAAAATTACTTTATTTTTAAATGTAAAAAATGTGTCTTTTTGACTTGAATATATTTAACATTGTTATTATAAAAAAAAATTCAGACTATATTTGAACAACCAAATTTAAATACACTTTTGTAAGCATATAAATGCATACATTATGGAAAAAATTACAAAAAATATTTTGGCCTTAAACTATATTTGTTCCAAGAAAAATTTATAAAATTAATATTACACATTTTAACATTATTTTAGTTAATAGTAGGGTACTTTAAAAAAAGGAATATAAAGTATGTACAAGATCAAAATTTTGTAAGACCATTGCATGGTAAGTACTCTAATATTGAAAATTCAAAATTAAGTGGAGTAGAGGAGAAAGACTCATTTCACATAATGTGTGAATGTAAAGCCTAATCCATACTAAGATCAAACTACTTGATTAAACCTTTTCCTGAAATAGAAGATATTAAAAACTTAAGACACAGAGAGATACTTAACTTCGCCAGATATACAAGAATCATTGGACATCCATAGGGGTGACTTGATAGTCTATTCTAAGTATAATGATAGGTATAATATAATAACACTTTGGTGATATCAATTAGGTGTGTAAAGCAAATCAAGACAATTCGATATGAGATGTGCACAATGGACCAACAGGTCTGAGTGCATGGGCGTTATGTTGACCTCACTAATAACTAAAACTCAGAATTGACAAGTATTCAATTACCTGTTTTTATATGCTGTATATACATATTTTCTTATAGTAAAAATAATGCCCTTTACAATACAATAGCATATTAAGTCGTTTCTAGTACGAATTCTTAAGCTAAATAATATTGTTTATCTATAACAGAAAATAGTAAATTTGTTCCATTTATTATTATGTATAATATAAATTATAATTAATGCACTAGAGTACTCACAGTGCAACATTCATAGTAATTATTTTTATCAATGAGTATTATAAATTTAAAGAGTATACAATTTACTATACTATAATTACTTTTTTTATTATTAATTTAGTTTAATGTAAGTTTAAAAGTTGCTTAACTTGTTACATTAATTTAAGAATGGAATAGTTATAAAAGAAACAATAAAAGCAAATTTAAGTGATGATTCAATTACATTGGAGCTGCAGCTGCCAGATAGCACATTAATAACACAGCACATTGACTTCACCAAAGTAAATATTTATTAAAAAATTAAATAATAATATTGTACCTACTTTCAAATAAAACTGAGAAAATAATAGGTTGTAAAAGTTAGTATCACTGGGAATTAAAAAGATTGATTAATAGACTGATTTTCCGTTAGTGTATGGTATTTAAAGTGAAGTTTAAGAGGTATGATAAATTATATGATAGGCTAGGAACAAAGTAAGGTGATAAAGAAGTCTGTAGACTTGCAAAAGTAAGTAAAAAACGGTCTTGAGATTATCACAATGTATGGTGTATAAAAAGTGATAATAAGAAGGTGCTAACTATGATGTAAAGAAAAAGGTTGAAAGAGTGTTTTGGGAAATTAATGAATGAGGAATATCCTAGAGAAGATTAGTATTGATGAGAATGTAAGACACATAATTTAGTGGGGAAAATGTCTAGTCTCTTATGTGATAAGATAATGCATAGATGGATGAGTGGAGTCACTAGAGAAGATAGGATAAGAACAAACATATAAGAAGGAATATGGGTGTAGTGTCAATCACGAATAAGATGAGAGTAAATAGACTTAGATGGTTTAGTCATGTTATAAGGAATGGAAGCTGTAAGAACAGTTATAGAAATGAATGTTAAAGGTAGAAGACCAAAAAAGAGATGGAGGAATATTATTAATTGCGATATAAGGAAAACAGCTGATGTGAGCGTAGACGACGTGGAGATTGTATCATGTGGAAATTTAGGATAAGGGTGGCTGACCCCAAGTAGTTGGGATAATGGCGAGGAAAAAGACTTACACTTTGATTTCATTATATAGATGAAGAATAGATTACTATCAGTTATTTTAATACAATTATTATAATTTAAATACTTTATGTAATTTGTAACAAATTTAAAAAATTATAAAGTTTTTTATAATTTTCAAGATCAATAAGCTTTTTTTGAGTTATTACAGATATTAAACTATCAAATCCTTTTTTTCTATTCTGTATTATTTTGAAAGAATTTACTTATTATTATTTAACGTAACATACTATATGTTGTACTATATGTTATACTATATTATGTGCCCAGGAGTAGGATTCTTTGAAGTTCCGACTAGGGTCCACATTCCGAGTCAATGGTCAATGGTGGACCTGATGTTGGTTAGCCAGGAAGCGTGGTTGCTCATCCAGGCGTTTGCTAAATCCGTCTTGAAAAAGAAGGTGGAAGTGGAACGCCTGAGACAGAGGGAGCCACGCCGCCTGGCACAGGAGGACTTGAGGCACTGGTTAAGGCCGGTGCCTTAGGTTCTTACTTTTGTATTTTATGTTTTTTTTTTGTGAGTTATTTTGCTAATCCTCCCTAACGGTTCCCACGCTGGGATCCGGCTAATGGGAGGGGCCACACCGCGTTGTGAATTATTAAGACGGCGTGGGCTGCTCTAAAGTAATACCCAATAGCAGTTCCAGAGCGGCCCACAATAAGCCAGTCGTTAGAAAAAAAAGTTATAACTTACTACAATCAGATTAAATAATTTTTCAGTTAAAAAACTCAGTGGTGTTGCTCTATGATGATGTTAAATTTCTTGTAATCAAACTAAAAGAAAACTTAAATTTAGTTTTAAAAAACAATTTTAGGTATACACTATAACTATTAAAGCTAACTCAATATTATTTATGCTTAACTTTTTAGTATTGTTTTGCTTTTTAATTGTATTTTAACTTAACTATTTTTATATTTCTTATAGGAGGTTCAAATAATACAAGTTTTATTATTAGGAGAAGAGGAGCGAGGTCAGAAACCATTTCAAATTGTGTGTTTTGTTAATCATATTTATCCAAATGAATTTATATCACCAGATGCCATGGCAAAACTTAGACAAGTAAGAATTAAAAAAATATAAAATATTAGAGAATTACTGAAGAAAAACATTAAGGCTTTTTCTTGAAATATCTTATTTGCTAAAATTATATTTTTATAATTTAATATTTTAGAAAAATCCAAGTACAATAAGAACGTCTGAAGAGTTTAAAGGTATCTTTAACATATCAGTAGATTTAAAAATTAAACCAAGAGAAAGCCATGATATTTCATCACACATATCTTCTTTTTGTTCAGAAGCTCATGACTCAACCTTTACTAGAAAAGTTGATATTGAGAAATGGAATTCTTTATCAGGTATGCAAATTTATTTGATTGGGATTATTTTTCTTCACAAATAGTTAAGTTTCAAGTGATGAATAATTATAGAAGCAACAGGCCCATATATACATATCCAAAAATCATTCTCATCATCATTTTTTTTTTTAAGTAGCATTCTTCTTCAGTTTTCCGATTGGTGCTGCCTTCCTACAATTCACCTCCATTCCTTCCTGTCTTCTATTTTCCTCTTAATATCAACATAGATTAGCATAGTGATCAAAAATGTAAAATTCTATTAAAAAGTTATTTTTCCTAAATAAATAAAAATTGTAATAGGCATCAAAATATAATCATAAAAAAATTATAGAAATTCCCAATATGAAATTAAATTATTAGAAAATATAAATATTTTTGTATGTAAAAGTCATCTTTGTGATACCACCTTATAACGCTCTGACTGATTTTCAACTACGCAAAAGAGTACATGTCTCCATATTTTTTATTCTTTTATGTCTTTTCAGTGTAAACTTTGTTAAATAGTATTTTTTAAACTAAAATGCATAGAAAACGAATATTCTAATTAGTATTGTATTAAGTGCTTATAAACCAGATTCTGGCTCCTTCTTTTTATAATAGCCGTGTCTACCATTGTATTACCTAAAACCTTTTTCCTACAGTTTTTCAACTAGGCACACATCAAAAAATTTTTAAAGTTTCCAGGTTTTGTTTATACAGAGTTTACTTAATTTATTAAAAATTCAAAAATTGAAATTCATCAATAAACTTTTTATAATTTTTAAAATGAATTACTGAATGTATATAAATATTTAGAATAAATTTAGTCCAGTCACATTTTCCATTTTTATATATATTTTATAAAGTAAATAGAGTTCAAAATGTTTTTATATAGCAAATAAATAATCAAAATAATTTTCCTCAGGTTATATTACAGAAAATTTTAAGATTATATTCTCTAAATAAATGAAATTTTGTTTCTTGTGTAATAAAGATTGCAGTCGGCTATATGAATGATTTAGTTTAAAATAGTATGATTTCTATTTTTAATTAATAATATTATTTATTGTTCATTTTACTTACCTAAAAGAGTAAATTAGTTTTTTAAAGCTTAATGTTATAAATATAAATACAATATAATAAAAACCCAGCACATGGGGGTCACGGCACAGTGGTGACGTGGCATAGTTTGATCAAGTAAAATGATATCTGACAGTGATTCAAATCACTATCAAAAAAACGCTTTGATGCAAATCTTTAGATAATGTTTAATTTTAAAAAATTGGTGGATTATTCCAAAAGCTACATGATCTGCTATTTTCTTATTAATATCCTGATTAATATAAAGTATGGCGAATGAAAAAGGGATATCAATATTATATCTCATAAAAAATTGTGTTGATCCATACACTTCTCAAAAAGTTATAGCATTATAAAATTAAAAATGTAAAAATAAAATCGAGAATTTTCAAACAAAAATAGCATTTGGTAACTATTACTACCATACTTCATGGTAACTACCATGAAGACAAAAAATATATATATTGATTTGTTCATTTTTGAAAAAGTTATGGCAGTTTTAAGTAAAAAAAAATTTTGAAAATTAGCGATTTTTATATTTGTAATTTTTTTGAAGATTTCCCTCATTTACGGGGAACGAGGAAAATTTTTGGAATTTTTGAGGATAATGTCTTAGACTATATACGATTTGTGATCTTTTAACGTATCGTTGAAAGAAATTGGTCCAGTGAGAGCTGAGAAAAAGTGGTAACAGACACAAAAAAAAACACATCATAGTAAAACCAATAGCTCATCAGCTTCGCATCGAAGCTAATACAAAATAACAATTTCAAACAAGTTAACAGTTAATTGACTAAACAGAATAATATAGTAATTCCTTAATATCTGATTAGTACAGTGTGGCAACAATTTTACATAAATTTTCAGCTTAATATTTATTTTTAATATTAATTGTCTTTCCCGTTACTTTTTCTGTGATCCCAGAAGAAAGGAAAATCAATACACAGAGTATTCAGTAAGAAAGAAAACAGCTCAATTGTTATAAACTATGAAAACAATAGAAACCCGTTTCCTTACTTACTGAACACTATATATTGTTTTTTTTTTTTATGGAAACATTGTCATTTCAATTTTATTTATTTATTGGAGTGCTTCAAAGTTTTCCAATTAATGAATGGTCTACTATAATTCAAACTGAACACTTACTCTTTTGGAGACACAATTAATTTAGGGATTTAAATTTAAATTGATTAACTATATTGTTAAGGTTCTTCTTCTTTTTTCTTGTCTTTATTCCAACTGTGTGGGGTCAACCACATTTTAATATTATTAAGATGTCCCGTTATTATAATCTTCTATTTTCTTCTCTCCTACTGGACCAATTTTACTCATCAATACGTCAAAAATTAAAAATTACAAAACGTATCTAGTTGAAGTTATTAGCGCCATAATTTTGTTTCAAAAAATTACAGTTGTTAAGTAGTTGATATTTTTAGTTTTATTTTATGTTGAAATAACTTTTTGAAAACTGAATGGATTACTATACAATTTTTGTTGATAATACTTCAAACATTTATCTTACTGAAACATGATTTTTTTAAAAATTCAATTGTTAACTAAAGTAACTTTATTAAAAAATCATAATCCACTTTTGTCTTTTCAATTTTCTTATAATGTTCCAAGAAACTTATATTATAATGTAGATTACAATATACAATGTACTTTAAAATGAAAAATGAAAAATTATTCTAAATTTTCGAATTTAGAATAATTATTAATAATAATTTTAGGAGTTATTGGGTATTAAGCTAAAAATCTTACAATTTTCGGTAAAAATGTACAATTTGAAATTTTTTGAATAGCAATGGAATATCTACACTTCTAAGATAAATCAAATTTAAAGTTTTTTTTGTACTATATGATTAAAAAAAAAAGCACATTCTAATAATTTATCTTTTATGAGTAATTGACCTCTTAAAACATTAATCATGTCAAAAGTTCCAAACTGTAACAACTCAAAAAATGTTAATTTTTGATATTAAACTTGTAGTTCTAAAGAAAAACTTTCCAAAAATCTTGAATTCTAAGAATTATTATTAAAGCAAAAAGTCATTCAGTCTTTGAAAAAATGGCCAATTTTGTAATATTTTACATAGTTATGAAATACTTACATCATTCAAAGTTATTTCAAATTAAAGCCTAATATATAATTAAAAAAGAAAAATGTTTCAGTGACATGATCTGTATGAGTAATTGATCTAAAAGTCAAAGATAATCTAATTTTTAGTGAATTAAATTAAATTTTTTTGAATTTATTACATATAACATATTAAAGCATTTTATAATGGTGATTTTAATCACTGTCAGATATTAATCAACACATTAATCTAACAGAATTCCAAAACTCTAAACCCTTGATCTCTACTGTTCTTCACTTTTTAAAATTTTAAAATAATTGTTAAAATATTAGATATAGATGTAGTATTATAATTTTAATAATTTTATTTATTTTTATTTCAAATAAATCATTTTTTTTTCTATGAAAGTTAATTACTAAAATTCATTACTAAATTATTTATACTTCAATGTTTATGTTTGATTACCAAAATTTCAGGTAGTTTAATAAAACAATATGAACACACAGATCATAAGGTTTCCAAACCAACCTTAAAATTATGCCGTGATACTGTTAAAATGTGGACTCATTGTTTATGCACTATGGAAGTAGTTATTCCTTGGTATCCATGTGCTTTGAAGTTCTGCAAAGATCATCCAAATAAGAAGTCCACAACTATTGAAAGTTATCGCTGTGGTATTCATACATGTACCAAGACTTTTAATTTTATGTATAACGTTAAACATAAACTTCAATGTTTGTCAATTGAATGATAGCAAAAAATTTAATTTTGTTAATAAAAAAATTAATAAATAATAAGATGCGTGTTAATTGTTTTCCTATAAATTTTATTAAAGACTTAGTTTGTCTTTTTGAAATTAACATAAATGATTATTAGGTGAAAAATCCTGAACTTGTATTTCATCTAGATAGTTAAAGAAACGAATATCTGAATGTTATCTCAGGTAATGTACACTCATTTAAAATAATCCATCTAGATAAATAAAATATTTTTCATCTTTCTTTTTATCATATTAGTACTTTAATATTATTAGTTGACATTTTATTCTACCTACAATCAAACAATATTTTATAATAAATAATACTATACAAATATAAAATTAATTAATTAATTTTAAAATTTATATTTATACTATAACTGAGTATTAAGCTAATTTTATATAATACAAAGATATTTTTATACTATTTTTGAGTATAAAAATTTGTATTTAGTCTCCGCAACATCGACCACTCATTCCTTTAGATGCGATAGCATATTTATTTATTTATTTAACGGGATTGACCCTTATTATACAAAAATATAGTTATAGAAAATGAAACAAAAAAGAAAAACAGTAATATAAAAATAATAAACATTAAGAAAAAACAAACATTTAAACAAAAGTGTATAAAATAAATGTTTAATTAAAAGAGTGGTCTTCATCGGCATTTTTCATTAAACGTGTAATTGGCTCATTATAAATATAATTAGAAGAACAGATAGGTATGAAGTAGGGAGCGTGATTTCTGGATTTTCTCTGGGGAACTTTAAAATTAATTAGCGCTAAAAGAGATGGAGAGTCAACTTTACCATCAAGCAAATTTTTTAAGAATTTAGTGCCTAGGGCCTTTCGGCGAACAGCAAGTGAGGGAAGATTAAGGTATTCGGCAATAGGTGAGTATTAATGTCATCCGCAAAATAAAGCAACTTGCAGTTGAGAAGAGTACGACTAACTCCATTTATCGATTTTACTTTGAATTCTTTTATTATCTTTTACTCGGCTGAGTATTTTTACCAACCCTTTTTTTACTGTTCTTTCACCCATTTGATTCAGGATTGTATGGAGGAGCATGAATAATATCAATAGTATTGATATCACAAAAATCATGAAATTCAGCTGAGCTAAATGGAGGACCATTATAGCAAACCCAAATCGATGGAAACAACTATTTAAGAATTCAATTACTTTACTAGCATTTGTAAGATTCATAACCCAACATTCAATCCATTTACTATAATCAGCAACTAATAACAATATTTTAACTTTATTAATTTAATACTCCGACCTTTAAACATATGTCAAAACAAACCAGTGCGTGTTACGAGTAACACGCACTGGTTTGTTATTTCCCATTTTTTTTTAAACTTAAAAATAGTATTTTTGCCTATCTTCATAAATAATTTTATTCATTCGATAACAAATTTAGAATTAGTACAAGATTGAGTTACGAGTATTTTAATAATAATTAAAGTTTTTATTACAAACATTTTAAAATACAAGAAAAGAAACTTTTTTTTACTTATTAGAGACAAAATATTTTAAATAATATCTAAAACTGCAAAAAAAGTAATTCAAAATATTGGCTTGGTTGTATAGAAATTTGTGTATATTCTAATTTCTCTTATACGTAACAAAATAATCCCAATTTCAAAAAAGTACATAAAAATATAAAATTTAGACTATTCTTGCTGCAAATGATTCTCATTTGGACATTTTCAAAGAATTGTCTTTAGAAGGTATGTTTAATTTAAAATTGAGACACAATTAATTACATACAGTAATTTTTTTAGATTATGATACGGTTGAAGAACGAAGTAATCTCAAAATAACGTATCTCTCTCAAGAAGAGAATGATACACCGATATGAAAGAAAAAATAATTGGAGAAATAAAGTCTGAACAAGATTCCAATAAACAAATTAGACTAGTAAAAGAATTTGGAGAACATGATTTGCATTCATGTCATTCGATGCCTATAGAATCATGTTTAGAATGTATGTTTACTTTGAAAATAAGACAAACATTGAATACTTTTTGAATCTAATTCAAACGTTTCCTCCATTAATATGTTTGCCTACTAATAAGAGAACAAAAGGAATTAGAAAAATAAAATAATATTAATAATTTTTTTTCTTCTCCCTCTTATAGCTAAAAATTTTACTAAATTTTTTAATCATAAATTATTTATTTCGTTCAACTCTTGTGGTATCCAATAACGGTGTTAAATTTTTTTTTGAAATAGTAATACACATAAATAACCAGATTATTTATTGAATAATGATATAATTAAAAAAATTACTAGTAAACAACAACTATTTTAAAATTTATTAACAATTTTAAGTAATGACTGGAGGTGAAGAATTAATACTTAATTTTATATAAAATTTCTTTAAAAAATGTATTAGAAATTATATGAAAAAAAATTTATTTTGTAATTCATGTTTTAGTTGATATAGTGTCAACTTTAGATTGGTCAAAATCTGTATTGGATGATACAAAGTTATACTCGGTAATTAGAAAACATATATTCAATATTTTTCTATTTAAATAATACTAAATACTTAAATTTTGATTATACACTATTATTAACTGTTAACACAAGCAAAGTTTTTCAGAGAAGACATTTAAAATAAATAGAGTAACTATAAATAATGTTTATTAACACTATTTTTTTGATTTATAGCAAGATAATATTATGGATGGACATCATGGAACTCATGTTGATGATAGACCAAAATTATATATGCTAGAAAATATGCCTCAACTAAAATTGATAAATGATTATAATTATAACACGAGAATACTGCACTCTCGAAAAGATTATTTTTGCATGACAAGAGTTGTAGATGAACATATCATAAGGTCTATAGAAAATAAAATGACTAAATATTATAGACAGACTTATATTCAAAATTGCAATTATAAACCACGAAAAAATGATCTTTGTGCAACTAAATATGGTAATCAATAATTTTACTTATATAAACAGTATAAAGATACCTACAATTCAAAGAGTTTTATGGCTTTATAATAGTTATTTAATTAAACAATTTATAATATAAGTTAATATTAATAATTATTTAATATCTTTTATTTTTCATGCAAGTGCTTCATAACTCTGAATAATCAAACGATGTCTTTATTATAAAAACATTACATATTAAAACATAAATTAAAATTGTCATTATTTTCCTTGTAATATTTTTATTACTTTAATTTAAGGAGTTGGCAGATGGTATAGAGCAATTTGTATTTCTGTTGAAGATAATGAGAATGGGGAACAGATGTATGTAATTAATTTACTTGATTGGGGAGAATCATTTACTGTGAAAGCTTGTGAATTACGTAGATTGGAGATGTGTTTTATAAAACATCCACCTTTGGCAGTTAAATATACCATATTAGGTATCTATGAGAGTATTAATTTATTCGTTTATAAACTAACAATTTATTTTTATATAGATTTCAAGTTATCAAATGCACATAAAATAATATGCGTAAACTAAACAATAATACTTATAGGTGTACCATACATTCCAAACTTGGCGATAATAACTATGTAATATCATCAAGAACAATTCTAAACATATTAAATAATCAAAAAAATTACTTATATTTTCTTAGTTGACTTAATTTGTATTTAGAAATTATTTTTTGCAATTTTTATTATGTAATTAAAAAAAAAAATTTATTTTCTTAGTTTGTTTAAGATAAATTTGTGTAATTAAAATGGTTTCCTATGTACTAAATTGTTTTTTTTTAACAATTACTTTTGAGATGTTTAAAAACAAAAAGTGATATAGGTACTATATATTTTATTTAGATTTTCTTATGGCTTCAAGTATTATATATTAATGAAATGAAAACATAGTTTCTAATCTATTTGTTAAAAATATGGTAAACTTTACAAAATTGAAAAAGTTATTTGTTGCATTTTATTTGATCTCGAAAATTAATTATTTTCATTATATTTTCAATGTATTTTTTTTCATATTGATTATCCAGTAAAATTACAAAATGGCCTCCTTATTATTATTAGTATTATTAAAACAATAGTTTTAATGCAAATTTGAATAATTTAGCTTACCAGAATTCAATGATGAATGGCTTATAACTTGCTTAACTATAATAGATTTTTAACTATTTCTAGGAGTGTCAATACCTTATATCCTAATATCCTAAAGAGTGCGATTGTTAAATAATGTTAAATGATAGAAATTGTCACATCTCATCATAATACATTAGGGCAAATTAAAACTACACAACAAATTTGGAACAAATTCATTGATTATTTTTAATTCGATGCACAGCTATTTGATAAAATAAATACAGAAGTCAATCGAGTCAAGTAGTAAGAGCGACAAACACAAATAACTGATCCGAATAAAGTATTGTAAAGGTATAGTAAAGTTAATACACTGCACGAAAGAACATAACTCGGCAGCCAAATGCTTAGATAGAAAGATCCTGTCTGTCTAAACGACTCTTATTTTACCTAATAGTAACTACGTTATATTTTCTGTTCCAAATTATAGAAATAAGTACAAAAGCAAACTGGCAACGTTTCTTTCTTAAGTCTGTATTATTAGAGTGGCAGAGCGTTAAAAACAGTTGAACGGTATGAACATAACGTTGCCAGTTTGCTTATGAATTAATCTTTTATTTGAATTTGTCGCTTTTACTACGTGTGGCTCGATTGACTTCAGTATTTCTCAAATATCTGTCTATGAAATTGATAATAATTAATAAATTTGTCGCCGTTTTTAAAATATTTTTTCCATCTACTGAAAACTTTTGTTGGAATTTGTCTCTCATAAACTAAAATTATTGTGCATAGACCACTCTATTAGGTTATTTTGCTCTTCGTACTTTAAGGCCCATTAGTAACATAAATAACATTTATATAATGTATATAATGACGGTTTTGACAATTTTTAGTACAAATTATTCAAGCACCACTTTAACTAAATTAAAATTCTTCTTTTTTTAGCAAAAATATTTGTTATATTTGATAAAATTTTAAAATTTTAAAATTTTCTTATACATTTTATTTAAGACTAAAAATATGTTGTAATTCATATTAATTTAATCGATTACCCACTGTAATAACTTTTAATTTAAAATTAAAAAATATAAATAATTGTTTACAATTATGAATTGTTTACAAAACTGTGAACTTAATTTATGAATCTGTTACATAAAATTGCATAAAATACTAAAAATAACTTTTAAATGTTGTTTAATTAGCTTTAAAGAGTGATTAATTTATCATTGACCACTAAAGTAATAATCTTAGAAAATTTTTTTTTTTGGCTTTGTTCAGCGCTATTAATCTTTCAATTTATAAATGGTTGAATAGTTTTTAGTTTGTCCTTTGTCATTATAAAGGTACACTTAATTTTTTTAGATGGCAACATACATTTTCAACTTATAAAATAGAAAATATTCTAATTTAAATAATGACTAGTCGATAATAACTATTGGATCAGTACTACGAAAATGATTATTATTTTAATACTACGGTAGATGGAAATGCGCGCCCGAGAAACGTCTAATAATAAAAATAGTCATATCTGGTCACAAATATATTAGAGCAATACATTGAAAACTACACAACAAACTGATGACAAATTCATTGATTGAATTCGATGGACAGATATTGGAGAAAATGAATATTGAAGTTGATCGAGCCAAGTAGTAAGAATGACAAATTCAAATAATCGGATGAACAAAGTTTAACAAAGATTAAAGAGGCTTACATACTAAGTGTTTAACCGCGCGCATACGCGTTTTTAAAATCGCGGCGATTAATCGCTTTATATAAAACACCCATTTAAATTGAACCATACAAACTATAACAATAACATGCTTTCGGAGGCGACCGATCGCTAAAATTAAACAATACAAATTGCATGTTATCAATTACAGGGGCTATTAAACGCCGCGATTTTCAGGCACGTGAGAGCTCATTTTATTTATTTTCACGTATTACTTTGGATTTCTTTTGTCTTCTATCTACCATGTCTTTTGACACGAAAATTTTATTAAAATCATATATTTGGAAAAATCAATTATACATAAAATAAATATAAGTATAATTGACTTTTCATATATTAATAAAATTAATACGATTATACGTGTATTAGTTTAATACATATCAATTTATAAAATTACTGTATACTTTAAAATTGAATAATAATAGGGGAGAATATTATCATAAGTAAAGATTTATAATTTTACATAGGAACTAATTAACTTCAAATCATATTAAACATAAAAATTAAATTTCGCCGACACATTTTATTTGAAATTTTTTATTTAAACTTTTTGTGGGAAGTATTTATATATAAAAAATAAAAACATTGTATATCAAAATTGCCTATCCATGTCACTAAAAATTATTTTAAAATGAAATCTATATTAAAAGACAGTAACCCTTCTAATTTTTTTATTACTTTAATTTATAAAGTTTTTGATTTTACTAGATACGTTACTATGGTTAAGATGAACAAATAACTACAATTTACAACCTTTACTTTTCACTTTCATACTCTCCAGACTACGTTCTCTGCTGTACTTAAGTAAGCTAATATTTCGTTTCGCATTGTTTTTCTTATATCAATCATTCAAATAATGGCCCACAAAGTTGTACGTCAAACGATGGCTGTATTATTCATCATATTTGAACTTGTGATGCGTTTTAATGTGGATATCATTACTAATGTCATTATTCATTTTATCATTGTTATGTTTGCCATTAACATGGAAATTATAAAGAATAAGACGTCATCCAAAAAGCGTAAACCTTTGATTGATCCTCGAGACAAGGACCGTGTGTTACGTTTTGTCGGCAACTACTTGACTACCATGATCCATTTTCCTGAAAATCTGTGGACACTTTTCTACAAGTCGGGACAGTATCAGGAAATTTACAAGTATTCAGGACCTGATGTATTTGCTCATAGTCGAACCAAAATACGAGACAACATTGATTGTCAGTACTTCAGACATGCTGATCTGGAGATCGATTTGTGTAACATTCAAGAATATCCAGACTTGGTGTGGCTGGTTGACGTGTACGCCTCCATAAGACAACCTCGCCTTGAATCGCGGCCGAGGTTTTTTAATCAAACTTTTATGATTAAACGTGTAAAACCACATTGTTTTAAAGTACTTGCGACTACTATCAAGTACCACAAAACAGTTCACACATAGTTGGGTAAACTCCGTTTAAATTGATCAATAATAAATCTACATACATTTACTTTATATTTTTTTTTAGAGTATCGTATTATTGTGTTTTTTATTAGTGTCTGGCGATTGAATTTTTATTAAGTAATTTTCAGCTAATTGTAATTTATTTGAAACAATAACGCTTGATTTAAAATATTTTGTATTTTTTAGAAATTGAAAATTTAAACCATTAAACATGGATGTTATATGTCTGTGTTCAATTATACTTATTTGCCTCAATATTTTTCAATAATTAACAGATTCGATATGACTAGCAAAAGTAGCTTAAAATTTATGTTGTCTAAATAAAAACTTTAATTGGTCAGTTGACAAAAATACGTTATGATATAAAATATAAAAAAATTAAATATCTTGTTAATTTAACTTATATACAATGTTCTAGGAATACGCATGTCAAATTTGGAATAACGCAACAACAAAATAATCTTTGGTATACAACATATTAATGTAAGCAACATTCGAACGCTTACAAAATTATTTCTTTTATTGTTTTATGCTTTTGCATGATTTTACTTTATTTGAAGTTTATCTTACAGAATTTTGTTCTATACATTTTATATTATCTACTTTAATTGATTAAAATCATATAAATATAAATATCTATTTCTAATTGTTGATAATTAAATCTAATTATATACGAATATATTATTTTATTATTGTTTTATAAATAATTGACATATTGTAAAGATAATGAAATTCAGTTTAGAAATAAAATAAAAAAGTTGAAAAAAAATGTAATTTTGTACACAATTATGTAAACATTTAAATCTATTCAATTATGTTCATTATAGGAACATAATATAAAAATATAAACTTGTGCTATATATAAAAAACGGTAGCACAGTGGAGTCGAGGCACAGTGTGGACGAGGCATAGATGGGAAAAGTATAGATGATATCTGACAGTGATTAAAATCACTATCATAAGAAACGCTTCGATGCAAATCTGTAGATAGTGTTTCATTTAGAGAAATTGGTGGATTATTTCAAAAGCAACATCAACTTTTATTTCTTTAATTATATTCTGATTAGTAGTTCTTTGATTTTAAAATATAATATATGAATAAATACTAATTATAGTTTTTAAATTTAGTATGAAATTGTGAGGCCAGCTATGATGTATGGTTCATAGTGTTGGGCGGTTGATAAGAAAGTAGAGCAGAGAATAAGTGTAGCAGAGATGAGAATGCTTAGTTGGATGAGTGGAGTGACTAGAGAAGATAGGATAAGGAACGAGCATATAAGAGGAAGTATAGGTGTTGCGTCAATCGTGGATAAGATGACAGAAAATAGACTTAGATTGTTTAGTCATGTTATGAGGAGAGAAGAATAGGAAGCTGTAAGAACAGTTATAGAAATGAATGTTGAAGGAAGAAGAGATAGAGGAAGACCAAAAAAGAGATGGAGGGATGCTATTGAATGCGATTTGAGGACAGCTGATGTGAGCGTAGAAGATGTGGGAGATCGTGTCAAGTGGAAGCTTAGGATAAGGGTGGCCGACCCCGAGTACTTGGGATTAAGGCAAANCCCCAAGTAGTTGGGATTAAGGCAAAGAAAAATAAAAATATTACCAGATATTCCGGTGGCAATTGACATAATATGATTGTTATTTCGGAATGTACAATTTAGCGTTTTGTTGGGTTTAAAAAATATAGCGTCAAATCAATTACCTACTCTATCGGTTGTATCTCAATATACACTACACTTTAATGATACAATAAATAAATAAACTCACACATACACACATATGCATTTATAACATTGTGTCTAATGTAAGTATAACATGATAAAAAGTAACCGTAAAATGAAAAAAATGGAATATAAATTTTATTACTCATATTAAATGTAATGTAACTCGAAAAATATTTGTTTAAATGAAAAAATATAAGATTATATTTTTATTTATAATTGTCTTTTAAACAACTTTTGTGCGAAACTTTTTTTTGTAAGTTAAATATTTTTTTTTGAGAAAATTAAGAAAGCTCATATTTTTGAACTTTTGCGAGGCTTTAAAAAAAAAGCTCAATTCCAATCTTGAGGACTATTAGTATGTCATTATACATATTTTAATTCAACTTTTAAAAAAACAAAATTTTTTCCGCAATTTTTCCTTTGTTGACTGGCCTAGATGTCAATTTTAAACTTGTAATTGAGCTAAAAGTTATGGTAATATATTCAATTTATTTTACTATAAACTTTCATAAATCTTTATCAAAAATTTTTCATCAACTTTAAAGAACCAAAAAAATAGGTTAAAATTGAAAATTTGAACTGATTATTTTTAACATATTAAAAATCAAATCAGTAATAATTTGAAAACAAATTTTTTTTTCTTTTAATTATAATTTTATATATATAATTAGTAATAATATAAAAAATTAGAAGTGATAGAAATAGTCTACTTGCAGATTTGAAAACAACGCGAAAATTTGATTTAGAAAAGTATATTTTTGCTTCTGATGAAAGTTCCTTGTAGTCC